AACCTTGATTTCCTCGTTTGCATATTAGCTGATCCTTTTCACTAAACGAAAAAAAAAGGTTCGCCCACTTCAATGGCATTGAATGCCACCGGAAGAGCTAAAGCAATTTAGCCTTGGCTTTTGATAGCCTCAAGGCGAATTCACAGTTTTACTGGTTTTCGTGATGACCTATAAAAGGCTGCGTGGTATTTGACGGCATTCAACTGATTGGCCGCATTCAGTTGAACACCCAAAATGGGAATGCAACGTGGTATTCAACTCGTCAAGAAGAAATCCGCCAAGAAGCTTGGCATCTCTTGTGACGCTAAATGCAAGCTAAGGATATTTTTCACGATTCTAAATTATGAGGTTCATTTTGTTGTGAATGAGAACTTCGACTTGACCTTCATTAGTAGAATTTGTTGGTTGATATTGATGACTAACTTCTTTCCAAGTTATGGTAAGTGCACTACTATTAATTTTCTATGGCAGAAGCTAAGAGTCAACAATGTCGTTTGTTTGAGTATACAACCGTTGACTGAAAAAAAATGAAGTCGTGACGTCAGAACAAATCCGAATATATCTTAAGCCCTTGAATTAGTCGAATTGGCATTGAAAACAGTGTTTCGTTTAGATATGCGATTAGATTTCCATCCTTAGTTTTCTCGGACAGATTAACATGGCCATAATGACGGCTCGTTAAATACGGTATCCACAGATAAAAAACGCTGCTTCATTAGTGCTCAAGAGCCTCATCATTTTAAGGTGGAATGTATCGAATTCTGATCTCTCAGTGTCAGATAGATTAGGAGAATGAGACTCCCTTCTTATTAGTAACAAACAATTGGGCATTTGGCTCGAATTGACTTCCTCCCATTCATCGATCATAAACATTTTTCGGTTATTCCATAAACATTTCGAGCGCACAATTTCGAATGATCACATTTCGAGATTATAATGCGGAATTACGTACGGCAATCGATATCGATCGCAAATACTAAACATAATGTGTTTTGCCTTTCTCTTTTTTTTTTGCGAAAATTGTTCACAACGAAAAGATTGAAAAAAAAAAACGCTGAGGTGTTTTCTGCCGTCTTTTAATATACGTGAGAGATCTCGGATATTCTCCAATGCCATTTTTTTTCGCACTCTATCCCCCACTGCTTGATTTTATCATCCTGAATGCATTCTGTTGGCAGGTATGACTATGTGTCAGCCGTCTATCGTCCTTGAACCGCCATTTCTGTTATATCATGATCACTGATTCCATTGATTCAAAATCGTTCGGCAACCACCAAACAAAGGCCGATATTCAAATATTTATAAATTTTGTTTGCAAGTCAAACGAGCTGATTTTTTGACCTTTTGTTTTTATCAATTCTCCGATAATTGTAGAAATGAGTTGTAAATTCGTGTTGCCGCAATGGCTTCCATTCAACACTAATTAAATATTCGAAGGTCGTGTAGCGATGTGGTGCGAATAACGAATAACAACGCGTGTGTATTGCAGAAATCAAACAATTTCAATAGTAGTGCACGCTTCACATTTTTTTGATTACTTATAGTAATGTTTTTATAGAAGGTTCGACGCAATTCTTATACATTCCCAATTCGATGTATGGTGTCGGTAAACACGTGACAGTATCAATGTCACAGTGTTAGCACTCAGAAAATTTTCTTCCCCCCCCCACCGCTCCCAGAAAATTACGAAAGCCCATTTTGTATTGTTCTTTCGTCGTTCTTGAACTTTTACGATAGGTTCCGCATCTAATCCTCGATTCAAATTGCAACGAAGTCTTTTCATTATCTTCAATGTTTCATCGAGACATATCTCGCCTCGCAAACCGATTGTATCTCCGCGAATGTTCTTTGATAATGCTAAAAGATCAATTCCTTGAATCTGCGACTTGTACAATATTCTGTAGTCAGAATTTGAAATTGAGCAAGTTTTTTTTCCGAAAAATTTTCCTTGAGTGAAGTGATCAAGTACCAAAATAAATAAATCATGAGTTGTTCAGCGTTATGAAATACCACTTTAGGTTTTATTACTCGTAGCATTTTGAACGGATATTTTCTCTAATGTTGCTCACTTCAAAAATACAACAGCCACGATTCACGTGCCTGGAGCGAAGTGTGATCTTGTGAGAACGTTTGAGTCATCGTCAGGTTTTATGAAGAGAAATGCTCGCTGCATTTCTCGACCAGATTGCCGCCGATGTTGAATTATTTATGAAGTGGGCCTCCAATAAAGAATACTAAGACCTTAATCCATTCGGCAATTTTATTAATCTTCATTGCTTCCTCTTATATATCACTTTTTATTATTGTTAGTGAACAGTTGGATTCAGATTGCTTGATGATATTTAACTGAAATGTGCATTTATTATCCAAGTCGCGTGGTTACTTCTAATTGGCAAAAAAAGTCAGCGATAGAAACGAGGCGAAATTGTCCACTTTTTGTACTTCACACGGTGAACAAAAAGATAAACAACATTGCATGAAAATCCCCACGCGTGAAGCGGTATGTCTGTTGTGTTTTACCAACTTTTCAGTAGAGCGTGTTATTCGCAATATTGAGACTTCATCGACGAGATGTGCGTCGCAGATAATTCTTATATCGCCTATTTAACGTTTGCCGCGTTCGGTGCAAAACCCATTTGCTGTTTGTTTGCATCGACCACCGGACCACACAGTTTCTTTCCGTTATTAATTATATATACAAAGTATCTATTATATTGACGCCAGAGCCTTGAGTGACACCTGTATTATGTTTAAAAAATAAGACGTTGTGTGCCACTTCTGATTTTTTTAAACATCAGATGTCATTGAGGGCCGTGCACTTTGAAACAAAGTTCATTGAAACACGAACATGCCGAATCAGTTAATGAAAACAGCGCGCCTGGTGTTGGGTTTTGAAATCGCAATTTTTTGTTCGATTCTCATCGTAAATTATAGTGAATTCACGACGACAGAAGAATTGTAACGTTCCCATCGTTTTCAAATCGCCACAACGAATAATCGCCGATTGCAGAGAGAAATTTTTCGGTGACGCAACATTACAATATTTTCGTTCTATCGACTTCCTTTTCGCGCCTACAAACAAAAGTAAAACCTAAATTTCTCAGGAAATGCGATTATTTGATATCTGACCAATGCCACAATTTAGTAGAAATTTCTCCATTTATTTTTGAGAAAAAAATATTGGTGTGTTTCATCGCGTATCATTTAATGATCACAAATCGATATTGACGAGCGAGGCAGAGTCTTCTCGCCTCATTCTCTCTTTTTCTTTTATTAGGTCAAATTGGCAAACTTCGAGATGAAGGCAGTCAAATTGGCAGAGATTGCTATCGTGAATCTTGCACTTTTCGACAACACTGATTAGTATTATTAGGTGCACATGCGCACCGTATTTATAAAGGCACATTGGTGGCAGTTAAAAGGAATGCTGCCAGTTTGTCTCGAAATTTGTTGAACTCGTTGAACCTCAATTTTTGCAGCGCATTTGTGTGCAGTTAAATTTTAATGAGCGTCGCGCTTAGTGTCTCTCATTTCGCTGATGGAAAACGGCGGAAGTCGCGCGACCATTATTAATCAAATGCTTGGTCGCAAGAACGCGCTGATTAAACTTCAATTTTTGTTCCCCAATACAACATTTTTGTTGGCAATTTCAGAATAATTTTGCTATACTTCACCGCCACTTTTTTTTTTAGTTAGTTCCGTCTATACATGTATATGCATGCAGTTTTTATTCTCAATCCGCTGCGCGCTTTTTTCTTTTCATTTTTTTCCCGTCTCTCTATAGTATTCTTTTCAGTGCGCTGAGTGCGTCTCGCGCCAAACGCTTCTCTTTTTACGTAGAAAATGCGTTTTTTTCTTGCACTCAGAAAATTGCCTTGAAAGATTATCGAAAACGTATATGGCGCGAGGTTGGCGGTAGGCAAAATTAATAAAAAAAAAACTACCCGGAAAATATTTTCTCAAAGTGGCCGACAAGTATACAAACAAAAACACGCAACTTGTTCTTTGTTTCTTCGTTTCCAACTTTATTGACCTTGAAAAAAAATGTGCGTTTTTCGAAGGTTGCCTTAACTAAATTTCTGCCCGATAGTGTGTATTGGAATGCTAGAGTGTAGCCAAACAGCCTCGTGTCTAGTGTGATATCGATGAGTGCATCATCAAACCACGGACCTCAACAAAAGATTTTCTTTGCCTTTCACGCAACGCACATTTGACCTATGAATTAGCGTCAAATAAGTAATGTAGACGAGATGGGCGGAGTGTGATTTGGCGTTGAGATGTCTCGTCCCGGCGCAAAGCTTTTTTGACTAGTCGTCCTTCGTTTTTCTTTTTTTTTACTTCATCCGCTGGTGAATTCCACTTCTTCAAAAACTAGGTGAAGCAACTCAACCACACACTTCACTGAAGCGAAGAGAGTGCAGACGCATCCAACATATACATTTTTTTTGCATTCTTGCTCAGAGATATCTCACGATATCGCGACAAATAATATTAACGTCAACAAAATAATGAACGGCGTCGCTTCGGTCGTATCACTGCGCACTACTTCCATGTACCTGTTTGCATTGAGGCAAGGGGTGGGATTTGTCTGTTACTGTTTCATTACATTCTGTAGGGTTATTGAATATTGAAATTCGATCCCCTTCTTCATCCCCCTTTGTGCTGTTTGATTATGAAGGTTTTTGATTAGAATTCAAATGTCTTTCAATGCCATACGTGGCTCTTATCTATTTTACGATCATGACCGTCAGGTGTAGACGACCCAACCGATCTTTATCGATTAGAACATTGGTGAATAAAACAAAAGAGTTCAGAGCGCTCGAATTCAAACGTTTTCTGTCTGATTTTCGATTTTACTCTTTTTCTGTACTCAATGTAACGGCTATTGATTTGTGATCAAACAAAAAGCGGTAGTGTAGGCGGCCGATGTCTATTATTTGCTATACTTGTTTGACTCTCTAGTCACCGTTCAATGTTTCTAATTTTTCTTAATTTCAGAGATGAACGTGGGTAATGCAGGACAACAGCTCGGACTCACGCAAGCTCAAATTCAGGTAGGAATTGCAACACTTCATTTTTTTCTATAATGTTGAATGAAGGAAAAACGGAAAAGATGTATATTTTAATTAGTCACTATGCAAATAGAGGCAATGCTACAAACATAGTACAAAACAAAAAATTCATCAATTCGCATTGAATATTTGTCAGCTTCATTTTTCAGCAATTGACGCAACTCGGTCTCACCGTGTCGCAAATTGGATCGATGGCCGGAATACCTGGAATCAATGGAATGACTAATTCGATTGTACAAGCACAACCTGGGACGAATCAAGTGGTTGCACCGTTGGTACCGCCAACTGCCGTTACTGCTCAACCGCTCGTTCATCCGCATGCGCCACCAACACCGGCTGTTCACGTTGTTCAACCTCATCCCAATCCGGCTCACGTTTCCGCTTCTCTTCCGACACCTCATCCGCAAGCGTTGCAACAGCTTCAACAACATGCGATGCAACAAGCTCAATTTGCGCAACAGGTATTTTTGTAAATAATTGCTTTCTCTAGAATTTTCATCCTTTTAAGCTTCAACAAGCTCAAATAGCCAATGCTGCTGCCGTGGGTCCGAATCCGCCGTGTCCACCTCCGCCAATTGGCATACCATCGATGCCTTGGCCAATCTCGACTCCAGTCTGTCATGTGCCGTTCTTTGACATTAATTCGTACCGTTCGGTGAATATCGATGTTCCGCCGAGTCATGACGCTTCTGGAATGGATTTGCCGCTTACCGATATCACGACGCTCAGGTGCATCAAATAATAAATAGTGATTTGTAGTGATTGCATGTTTTCAGGTTCTTCTTCAATCTTGGAGTTCAGCAATCGAGAAATCTCATATCGGCTAGATCGCAGCAACAACAACAACATCAAGCGGCCGCTGCGGCGGCTGGTATCGTTGCTCCACAAAACCCGAATTTTGCTGAAACGCTCAATCTTGCCCAACAATCAGGACTTCTACAATTGGTAAATTCTGAAAAAGATTGAACCCCATAAACAATTCATGCATATTTTTTACGTGTTTTGATGATTTATATTAATTATTTAGGTTCAACAAATGAACCCGCAGAATTCGAATATTGAACAGCTGACGAATCTGATCAATCAACATGCTATGCTTAGGTACTATTCCGAAATGAATAAAATTATGAAATGGTTGCTTATAGACAAGCTCAGCAACTGCAAGCAATTCCTGCCGGCGGTCAGCCAAATGTTCAAAATTCAATGCAGCAACAGATGATGCAGCAACACATGAACGGTCTCATGAACGCGCAGCGGAATCAGCAACAAGTAACACCCCAATCATAATTACAAATGTCTCAATGTCATCAACAGATCCAGAATCAAATGCTTCAACAACAAATCACGGCGATGGTGCAGCAGCAGCATCAGCAGGCGATGATTCAGCAACAGCAGCAACAACAGCTACAGCCTCAGCAACAACAAACTCAGCAGCCGCAGGCGCAACAAACTCAGTCTGGAATTTCTGCATCCATTCCTGCACCAGCGCCAACCCCATCTGCTCAGTCATCTCAATCTACAGCTGAACGGAAACAAACTCAAACAGAGTTGGCTCAAACCGCTGGACCGGCTCCAGCTCAAACTCCAGTGACATCGGTCACTAATAATAATTCATCGTCGTCCCAGGTTGACTTCTGAATATATTGCTTTTTTACATTTCCAATTTTTTTGAGATGGCTTCTAACCATGTGAGCTCGTCGACAACCTTGACCACCACTACATCGTCGTCAGCAAATGCTTCGTCTTCGACTACCAACTCGACGTCAAATGCTCAAATCACGTCGCAGATTTTTAACAAACCTTTTGATCATCATGCATTCCTTCTTCAGCAAGCATTGCAAGCTGCTAGCGCTGCTAATGGTATCGCAGTTCTCCATTCCAATGAATAATTGTTTTGACCTTTCAGCTAGTGCTGCTAACAAACCAAGCCTTCATGAGATTCGTCTCCAGGCTCTTGCTCAACAACAGCAAGGACAGAGCACGTCTTCTGGATCGTCGGGAGCTACAACATCTTCTGGAATGCATCCATTCATTCGACCAACTGAAGTAATTGGAAATAATATTTTTGCCGAATTTGAATAAATATTTCAGGCTGTTAAGCAGATGAGCAGCAGCGACTCGACAACTTCGCCGCGCCCAATTCCAATTGATCCAAGTCCACCAAGAGGTGCCGTCGCTTCAAGCAGCGGTGAAGGAACTAGTGGCGATTCGCAGTCGTCGTCGGGAAATGATGAGACGCGCCCAATGGTGAATCCTATTGGAATCGCCAACCCAATGGCGTTTGCTAGAACCGCATCGAGTGGTGCAAGTGGAAGTGGAACTACAAGCGGAGCCTCCGTTGTTTCCAGTATTCCGTCAATCATTCAACTCTCCGAGGATAATTTTACTGATGCCTTCAGCAAGGCTGAGCAAAAGCAAGCTCATTATTGACTTTTTGTTTAATTGAAACTACGTATTTTCAGAAAAGTTGCTCAATTGACTGCCGCTCAAGAGGCTGCTAAGCAAGCTGCTTTAGATGACCAACAAGAAGACAAGCCAGCGGTACATCCTAGAGAAAATGTCATCGAAATATGATAATTTTGCATTTTAGCTTGCCCCAATTTTGATGATGTCATACTTAAACACGTGCATGAGTCAGGCGAAAACTCAACTAAATGCTAATGGGGTTCAAGTTGGAGTGGATGATAACGGCCATATCGTAAGTGAATGAATACAAATGTGAAATTTATTTGTTTTATTTCAGATCGATTTCTCCTCCCGTCCGGTGGATCCAATCTTCAAAGATGCTCGCGAAGAGTTGGCTCGTCAACGCGACTTCCGTGTTGAGCGCACATCGCCAAAACGGCCACATGGAGCCCATTCGCTGGCAGCGAATCAGCCGTCTTCAAGCCGACTTTCACCGGCTAGACCTTGTAATTCACTTGAAACATTTTGACAGAAATCAGAATCTAGCGTAAATTGTTTGTGACTTCTTTCTGATATCATTTCCTAATAACGCGAATTTAAAAAAAAACCGACAACACTAAGCAAACATTGTGCATTGTGTCCTGAGTGCTTCAAGATTATCAAAATTGATTATTAAAATGTGAATTGCGACAGAAAAATGACTAGCGTGAATTTCAGCTGGCTCACCCAAGAATGATTCACCATCACGTAGCTTGCCGCAGCAGAATCCACTGGGAATCAACCGGCCGCAACGGAAATCAGCCATCAATTCCAGAGTGATTCCGACAATCAAGGCGCGTTTTATTTTCTACATGTATTCTGTAAATGGTTGTGATTACAAAAGCTTGCTTAATCACCTGACTAAAATAGATAGACTGAAAAAAATTTTAAAAAATTGGTTTGGCATAATAGAGTGACGTTTTCAGCGTAGAATTTTTATATCTTCGTGATTTTGGTGATATGCTCTTTTAACAATTCTAGACATATACTGTCAATTAGAATGTTATTTTGCAAATTTTGCTCATATAACAGATTTCAGATCGCTGATGCGGTAGCCATTCGAACTCCAGAAACTGAGCAAGAGCCAATTATCAACGTTGTTGGCCAAGAGGACGATAATGAAGAGGACAACTCATCAGGAAAGCGTCTCCGCATGACCGCCGATGAAGAGTAAAATGATAATTTGCTATTGAATTATTTTTAACGTTTACCAACTGTTTCTTTAACATTCCAAATATTTTTTTTGAACTTCTTATTTTCAAATTGTTGTTCAATATATAACTTTGAATTCTTGTATCTTTAAATGGCTTCTCTGTCTTGCATATTAACCTCTGAATTATTTTTAAATGCTGTTTCACTCTATATACTTCAAGTATTTTATTAAAATTATCATTATCGTTATTATTATTATGAATATTATATAATTTTGTATGCTCTTGTGTAATTCATTCAAATGTATTTCTGTATTATCATTATGGCAAATAAATCTGTTTTTTGGAGATGAGTGTGCGGGTGAGAAAAACTAGATTGTCCAGAAGCTCGGTGCTCCATTGCGACCCGTGTCGGGATGATATACAAAATAATCACTGTCAATTGTCAGCTGAGTTATTTCAAATTAAAGCAAATTGAAATATCTCAGCAACTGTCGACTTTCGTATTGTTTCATCACTTTAAGCTGGTCCGGCGCTGTCATTTTGACCTCATTATGTGTTAGTCCGATGTATACCTGAATCGAGATTTGCATTTGCATGAATATTTCTTGCCTACCTTTTGCATATCAGATCGCGGAATGAGTGAAGTCTTCCGACCAAACACCATGTTGTTTTTTCCAAGAACTTCATCATCTAAATAACGGATAGACAAAAAGATTTTCTATTCAGAAGTGTCTAGTTTGTACCGTCACTCCAAAAGCTAGCGATATAATCGGCTTCTTTTTTAGGAAAATTGTTGACGTTTGAAAGAAATGGGGAATATTCGTTCTGTAAAACTAGAAAACTGAGAAGAATGATCTCGACTTTACAAAAAACATACGACGTTGCAAACGCCTTTGAGATTATGGATGTCAGAATCGCATTTGTAGTCGCCGCAGTTTCCCGGATAGAATCCAGTCTGAAGTGAAATTGGCGAATGCGGATAAAATCTTCAAAGAAAATAATTGTTACCTTGAATCCACATGCTGGAAATGCGTGAGCAAATTGGCATGGACACATTCCATGATTTGCAGCAGCCAAACCAATTAGAACTCCAACACGATGGGATAAGCTATCTCCGATATCGCATTCTTTTCCGTCATCGTCAAAAAACTACAAAAATAGAATTTACAATATTTTTTTACTTTTATTTCCGGTCATACAGTTCCACCTTGAATCGCTTTTCGTGCAATGCTTACACCCATTGAGTGCGCAATTATGTTCACTTTAACAGATTTTGTGTAAATCAGAACATTCTCAATGAACTCGCGATGGAAACGAATTAATTGACAATCGAAGTGTCTGTAACTATAAAGCTTCACCTCAAAAATATATTTCGCATACCTTGTATAAGAGTTTGAAATATTCCTATCGCCGTATGTCATGCCATAGAGCTCGCTCATAGTGTACCCATTTTCCAGGAAAAATTCCAAGACTTGGTTCCATCCCGATTGATAAATATCTGTTCCGTGCTTAAGTGCAGAATCCGAGTTTCCATGAATAAAAACAATTGGGGTATTCAATATCTGAAATGCACAAAACAGGTCTAGATTTTTTCGGCATCCTTAATAATAGAGGTTGTTATCTCAGCAATTTGATTATATTTGACTATTTGACTATAGTTTGATTCCTATCAAGCTTTTTATCGAAGTGTTATTTACACCTATTTACGTATTTTAATCTTTATTCACCAACTCCAGAAAATTGTTGTATTTGTTTTTTTTTTTGCAGATTTTCTATGAATCTTGAAGTAATGTGGGGAAATTCTTCTCAATATGCTACATATTATCAAATTTTGCATTCATGACATATCAAATATGGCTATATTACAGACAACATTCACGTAAACCAGTTAATCTAATAACAACTGACTAATTCGCATTTTCGTGAAATGTAAAAAAATATTGGTCTTATTAGTCTTAAAATTAATTTGCGATTTTGATTAATGGTCAGAATGTGACTTGAATTCATATAAAATCACGAAGTCACAAACCAATTATTCAATGGTGTCGGTATGAAACAATTGAACATTTTCACAATAATCTTCGATCAACCAATGGCTAATCAATTCACAATTTCCGGGTAGATTTTAACTTTGACTTTTTCGGGTCATTTTGCGTAAATGATGTCAACATAACCCACAAATTTGATGCAGATCTGACACATCGATGTTCTTTTAAGCATTCCTCCGAAACGCAGAAACATTTAGTGGTTTGAACCACAATTTTTTTTCTACGCAACTCGCCGAACGCGGGTGTTTAGCTAGTAATAGAGTGCATGTGGGGTTTGATGTGTTTTTGATCTTTCGAGTAAAACACAAAACAGACCTTGGGAGTTTCCGACTCTGCTCCGCCGAAAGATCCGGTATAGCCGTAAGTCAGAATATGACGAATAAGGTTGTCGTAATTTTTCAATCTGTAAATTTCACTTCAAATAAAACTTTGGAATAAAAAGAATAAATTCAAAAATCATCATAAAACTTTAGAAAATTTAAGATCTCCAGTAACCCATTAAATCACGATATTTTTAAATAATAAAGTTTGTTGTGATTCGAAAACTATATTAATAGACAATTTTTAATTACAAATTTTTCAAATTAACGATTTTTGATTTTTTTTTCTAGACGGAATGAATCAACAAAAATATTTAAACAATTTGTTTCAGACCGCTGTCAGGAAAACTTCGTGTAATCCAAAATTAAGCTGTCTCGTCTGGCGACTCAATTTTTGGTCTTTTACTTCTTTAGGCTTTTAAATATTTTCAATCTCATGAGCAATACTCTTTTAACACTTCTAAAAATGTTGTTTTGCAAACAAACAATTATGTAAATATTTGGTGACACTACCTGTACATGGATTTCATGAATGAAGTAGACAATGGCCCAAAATCGGAACAGAGGATCCTAGAGCAGCAAATCAACATCAATATAACTAGCCATTGCATTTTTCGTTGAATCTGGAAGATTGTAATGAGGAATATGGGCGGTCAGATTGCGAAAAATGCGATATAACGGAACGGAACGCTGAAGTGAATCGTAAGGAATTGGGCGATGTCAGCTTCTAAGGAGAATTGACCCGCCCACTATTCGGCATTCCGGGATGATATTTAACATCTAGGTTGTGTGTTTTGAACAGAGTTGTACAAACCAGTAGTTGGCATTCGGATCGTCATTAAAACGAATAAAATATGAATGATAGCTTGTAATAAAAACTTAATAATAGACGACAATGACAAATACTAATTCTACTATATAAGTCAAATGAATGATTCTTAAAAATTTGTATGTAACTAGAACAATCATAAAATGACGACAGTCTTGCAAAGATAATATCAGGAAACAAAAAAAGTGCACTCAACTGAATTTATCGAGACTAGAATACCTCTAATTTGGCGAACCCGCTGTCTACGGTAGAAGGAGATAGCATATAGGATTGGTTTGAAAAAAATTGCTTCAGCTATTTTACTAAATCTTTTAATGGCATTTACTGATCTATTAAGCTTGTTACTCGCTTATGAGAAATTAATAATAAATTTAATACGGTTAACTATTTAAAGAATTTTTATTCATCAATTCCGGCTAATTAATTTTCATGTATTATTAATCACACTGGCGCATATTCTTAACATCGTTGGCATTATTGTGAGAGCCAATGAACTGTCGGCAACAACACTTTTTCAAATAATAGCTATCCGATTTCGAGAAAAACCACAGACGTCTAATCATATTGTTGAAATAAAAAAGAAAATGCTGACGAGAGTTTGGTTGGCGGTTCCGTTTCGATGTTTGACTCCAATGTTTTTCAATCAAAGCCGTAGAAATGAATAAGTTAGAGTAGGCGTAGGGCATGAGTCTGGCCGTCACAGGACAATGATCAGTTTGCCATCAAACGGTTGAAATAAGGTGGAATTGTCGATAATTTCAGATGGGCGGTGTTTTGAGTGAACTACAGTATCCCTCATTTCTGCGTTCTAATTGTCCTCCACTGTTGTTATCATTTCGGTAGCCGTGACGTCGGATAAAACTAGAACTAATTAAGTGACTGTGCGCATTTCAATCTGCACAGACAATAGTTTAGCACTGCCAAAAAAAAAATGGATTCGTAAATCGTCGCGTTGGAGGGATATTGTCGTATCTGCAGAACATGGATTAGGTGTGGTTTCCATCATTTTCTCCGGAGTTGTATTTCTCCATTAGAACATTTTGAACATGGGCATCGAACTGTAATAGATTTCATTCCGATAATTAATAGATGCAAATCTCAATAAAAAATATTCTAGCGATTGGAAAACATGTCGCCTTGCAAGAATGTACCCGATCATTAGATTTTATTCAATGACAGGTCAAGTGGTTTCCCTTTGCGCCAAGATTAATCAAAATTCAATGATTTATCTCGAAACATTCGTTCCAGAAACAAATTTGTGCTTTTCTGTCTTGTCTACGAAGAGTCTGAGCTAGTAATTCAAATTTGCAAAATAGCAGACTAAATGAATCTCGCACTGTTGCTTCAATGTTCGCGTATTGGTGTTTTGTTTTATCTTTCCATCTGAATCAAACTTAGACACTTCAAATATACAAATTTATTGAAAATGTAATTACAATTGAACTGTGTTAATAGCACCTACAAAGTAATAAACGAGGTTTTACATTACGCGTTCTGAGCAGTACCAAGTACAGATACATCAAAATGGCGGACGGTAAGTTGCATAGTTAAGAGCTTCTCTTCGCTGGTTAACATTGATAGTAAATAAAAAAAGTGAAAACGCGAACAGAATCTATTCGAACAAAGCACACAATTCTCACACACGGACCCATTGTATAAAATCTATGGCTCGCGTCATTTTCATACATTTTAAATCGTTCCAAGAGCGTGGAAGTTTTACAAATGAAGCCACTTCGTGGGTGACCCGACGAGATGACGTCGACGTCGCATTTTTGATCCCGTCATATATGCAAGATGACCAACAAAAAATTGTTGAAACAAAATCGAAAGACTAATTTGCGGGGATTTCAGATAGGTACATTTCGGTGTAACGGAACAACAAACTACATGGCTAAATGAATAATTATGGCGCCTTATTTTGCTTATTTTTTGATTATGGAAAGATTCTTCAAAGTATCCGAGAGCTGCCGAGCATGCTTCACTATTTTACTTTTTTTAGACGCTACTTCTTTCACAGGCTTCTGTGCCTTCCCATCGCGGATATCTTGGGCGAACGCCACCAAGTTAGCAATGTCAATGACAGGATAGTTCTAAAATGAATAACTTCAAAAATTCCTTGCCAAATTTTGATGACCTGCAAAGTTCTAACGCAAAGGGAAAAGTCGCCATTCAAAAGCTCATTCCTCTGAAGTTCCATCATTGCCAGGCATACGTAAGGAAGAAGTGTGAATCTGAAAAAAAAAGAACGGTAATTAAGACTCCAAAAAGCAATCTTTCGACGTCACAAGCCTTTTTGAATCGGCGAATAAAGCGTCCCAAAGTGTGATAACATCGGGTAACGGGAATTCTTGACTTAGAAGAAGGGAAAGCCAGCGAAATGCGTAGAACTGTAAACAATTGGAATGAGATTTATTTTAGATATTTACGAATAACTAATATTTACCTGAGGTTTAATATCGAGTCTTCCAATCAAGTGATTGTAGAGCTCATTGTCGAAGTGCATTATGAGATTATGGAAATTGGACATTGAAGATTCTAAAAAATATATAAAAATATCGAAGTCTAAAGAAAAGTTCGCTACCAATTCCGCAGACGCTGTCGTCAAGAGTTTTTATAAAATTGTCCTTGACTTCGCTCATGAGTTGCTAAAAAATTTTTTCATTCATTTTGAATTGCAAAACGACAAACCTGAAAGCAGAAAAATGTGTCGGCTTCAGCGAAAGCAGCCCATTCCTCATCAGAATCAGTAGCGAGCACATAATAAATCGGAGCCACCAGCTCATTCATGCCCTTCAAATTTCATTGTTTTTATTACCCTCATTACGACTTTATACCTGCACATACTGCACTCCCGGATTGAGTTTTGCGTAAATGAAGAGAATTCGTTCAACAATCTAAAAACAATAATAGTTATTATCAAAATCATTTTTTTTTTCATTTGAGATTCGTACATGCCAGTGGAATTCTGCACTCCCTGATTTTTCATCGCTATTATCTGCAACTCTGATGTTCTCCTTGACGCACTGAAAACGAAAATTGTTTTGATACTTTTTAAGCAGTATTTGCAGCAAACATAAAAAAAAATCAAACATCTGTTTGATTTAATAATCTCATAATTCTTAAAACTTGGTTATTTGATCGAACCTCGTGCTGTACCAATGCTATATTAGACATTTTCTACGTAAAAGTCTGATTAGGGGTGTTTATCGCAAACGCAATAGAATTATTTGCAAAGAAATCACAAAATCATTATTCAACTATAATTTGCAACACTTCCAGAATAGAAAACATATTATAGGGGATCTAACGAAAATTTGGATTTTTGGCAAAAAACTTAAAATATTACTTTAGTTGTATTGCGTAAAAAAATTGGAGACAATTATTTAAATGGTAAATCTTTAAATTTAATACACAATTTTTAATCGAAAAAAAAAACATTCATTTTGAAAATCTATGATTTGTTATTTTATCGCGTTGAATACTAATAAGTGATTTTTTTCTTTTTTGCTCGACTTTCCCATTTTCTCCCAATTATTGAAAATCATAAAATTATGTTCGATTCTATCTAAAAAGTATTCATGAAATATGGAGAAGTTCGGAAGATCGAAAATTTTCCATTGAGATTAAGAAAACATTGATCTGAACGGAAGTAGGTTGATCCGATGAGTTGATTCAAAACGCGTTTCTCAATGAATTTTCTTTCATCTCAATCTTTTTATTCGAAAATTATCTCACGCTTATTATTCCATCGCGGTTGATTCCATACTCCTGTGAGTCCAATTCCTGTCCCGAAACACGTTTTGACAAGGGATAATTCACTCCATATCTAAATATTTTAGCAATGTTTGCAAGTGGTGCTTGATCAAAAATCACTTATGCGGAAATTTGGACTGCAACTGGAAGAATTGTATCTCCGGGTACAATCTTCGTACATCCTTGTCGATCTGCGTAAGAACTTTGTTGTCTTGAAAGAACGCCTGCCAATCGCTCGCCGGATTATCCGATAGCGGCTGAAAATGCTAGACGTTGCGTATTTCCTTCTCTCCTTTTTTTGCAATGAAAAAAAAGAAGATATCCATCCCTTCATCTTTGTTCGAGAGAAACGGAAATTCTGGGACAGAAATATCTTCTCAATTATTGAGCTATTATGACGAATACGCGTAGACAGGACAATGTCGGAAACAATTATATGATGTCACGTAAAGGAAACTTTTGGAAAGGAAAATGGATATCAGGGCTTACGAAAATAAATGGACAATGGCTTAAAAAATGAAAGAAATTTGAAATAATAATTGAAGAAATATAAATGTAAAATATCAAAAGTTCAGCTTACAAGAGCAATACGATTTCACTAAGGTAATTTTGAGGCACGAGGTGGTCTTTTACAAATATAACTCAGTATTGGGCATAAGTAAATTTTTGTATGCGAAATTGGCATATATGGAATTAAGCGCAACACTGATATACATGATATATGTAAATTTGATGCGTTTCAAATACAGTCAAAATTTTTAAGCTATTAAATCCCAAAAAAATGAAATATAAGAGAAAACAATAAAAAGCGGATGTTTCAAAATCTACCATCTTCCTGATATAAAAAAAAAAATCTACCATCTTCCCGATTTAAACTATGAAAAAGTTTTGGGTAATAACATTTTAATTATTTATGAAATTATATTGAAGAGAACATTTCATATGTCATAGAAACTAGCTAAATTTTGGTTCAATTTTTTTATGTTCTACATCTATATTTTTAAAAGCTTAACTAAACTTGAATTAATCGTCAATTGTTTACTGATATATATATATATTTTTTTCAACTTTCAGGGCATTGAAATCATTGGAATTACACCCCTCCCCTCTCTCGAAATACCGTAATTAATTGAAAGCAATTTCGAAGGTTCAACATGTTTCAAAATACGGCATCATTCAGAAATTTCAACTATTTGAATTTTCAAAGCTAACATTCGTTTAAAATAGTTCAAAATTTGTTATTTTTTCTAATAAAAACAAGTCTCGGTCAGAACATTCGACATTTATATATTTCTTAATGGTTGGATTATAAAATACAATGAGAGCTTCCACATTATATCATAACAATTTTGAATTTCTACAATAAGAAAAAAACCTATAAATGGTTAGGAATCGTATCGTTTCTGTGGAAAAAAATTTGCAATTTTTATACAAGATAATATCATTCACGTTGAAGTATAATTTTTCTTAAGAGTTTCCTAATTCCCTTAATAACCATCAAAATTGGATGATTAGTATTTTTTATGTTCCCTTGAAATTGCATAAAAGAGAAAATTATTTTATCAAATGTGACCTTCCCAAATGAATGGTTTGGTCTTCTGATAACGATTGTTACTCTCTCACAAATGCCCTTTTATCAAAACAATCAAATAATATTATAAAGTTGCAAAGATAAGTTTGAAAACGTTAATTGAAGACTGTGAACAAATGATGAAATCAGAAAGCCCCACAATTACTTAGCGAATTCACATTTTTCATAGATTTCAGTCGCACATGATTAATTTCAAATCGCAATTTTTTGCCTCTTCAAAGATTTTTAACTTACGTGATCATTAATAGACTTATTGAGAGCTTCTTTGCCTGGCTCCACAATAATCTGCTCTATCAATTGGTCGTAGGTTGCTCGCTGTTCCTAAAAACACCGCTTTCATTGAAACAGCCTTGAATAATCTGTGCTAACCTTCAAGTATGATGGCCATTTATGCCTTTCCAATGGCAGATAATTGAGAAGTAACCTCCAAACCAATGGCCGCAATTGTTCAGGGACGCCTTAAACGTAAAAATCAATAATTCGCTTGGTGGGTTTCCTTCCAAACCATAGCTGCAACCATTTCGAAGCTCATCAATATCGATTTTTTTATTATCAATGAGCAACACTTGCTCGATTTTTGCCATTCGTTCCATATAGCGAGATGTCATCGTTCTAAAAATGGGATAAGAACAGATATAACAATAGGATGAGAAGTAATAGTATCGATACGATCACAATATGACTCACAGCAACACAATCAATAAATTCTCGGCAAAATAGTTTATTTCAATGTTTTTTTTTTGATAAATAAATAAGAAAAACAAGAAAAAATAATTATCACATTAGGATTGACTAAAATATTGTTGAACTAGGCAATAATCATTTGGAGATACGTGTCATATAAATTTGAATTGTTCTGAGAAGAAATTTTAAAGAATGGAATAGATTGGATTAACCGGCCAAATAGCAGAGATTTTCTTGGGTAGGATACACATGGTTAGATAGAAATGAGAAAAACCGAAACAGCCAAAAATCAATTAAGGAAGGAGTGCGGATAGTTGCCCACTGGAAATTGTCAATTGTCCGGTGCCGGTCACCTCACACTCAACGCGCAATAGCGAATACTAAACATTGAATATTAAATGCTGACTATACTTGTATAGTTACTTCATCCAACATTGTTCCATTAATCGGGTAACTCGGCAGAACGATGGAGACTTTTGGCGCACTTGTTGTACTTCTCTTAAGCGCCGGCAATAAAATATAATCCTAGAATTAATTTGATATTCAAACTAATATAAAATTGATAAATGAAACCTGAAGCGCAACAATGTACAACGTGTCTGATTTTTGGCGAATCATTGTGCCGAGCTTCTCAATTTGCTTCTTTTTCATTCGAATATTCTCGCGGTTGTGCATTGAGAGATCACTAAAAATTACAATCAATGTTTAAACAAGGAACATCAATTACGGTCTCAATAAATCTAATTGCTTCCAAGTACGCTGTCGGGATCGATACTTCGAGCGTTTCACTGGCTCAATTTCAGCGCTATCTTGAACCGCCGACTTTTGAAGTTTGACCTTGGTGAGCTGAAAAGAAACCGGTTTAAAAGCGTATTAACATGCAAAATTTACTTTTCCATCTTTATTGAATCTCTCCATGGCATCTTTGTTGAACAATTGTTTGGGAAGTGTGGGCGCATCAAATTCTTTGAATGAATGGACACGTACCCATTGATCAATATCGTTTTTCACTCTAGAATGCCTGACTCATGAATACATATAAACAAAATAAGCCAAACCTCAACGCCTCTGACGCATTCATTTTAAACGAACAATCGCTGTGAACTGATGAATTACTGTTCGTTGAAACCTCGCCCTGGATTCAATAAAAATTAGACGCCTTATTTGGAAGATTCGGATTACCACAGAATCTGGCAAAACTCGACCATGACTGGTAGACTGGAGTAAATATTCATTGGAAACTCGATGAATGTTCGGATCATGACCACTGTTAAAATAATTGAATATTGAAAATTACATGGCAATTACCCTAATGAGAACGGACTAATTACTGCAATAATTCCAAAAGCGAGAAGAAATGTTCCCGCGGCAACCAATTTCCTCTTGGTTGGCGGCGCCGATGCAAGCGGTTGTGTGGTAGGTGCTCTCTGCGGTGTCTCTTGCTCGACGTACTAAATTATTCACGTATTATTATTAGTTATGCGTGTACCTCGTATCGCGAAAGTCGATTTCTGAGCTCACAATTCTCTTCTCGAAGCTGTTGATTTTCCTTCTGCAGCTCGTCAATTTTATTTCTCATTTCGGTTTCCTCCTTTAAATCAATTTCAATTATTGCTCACAAATATTTATTCCCCGATGGCTTACATTCTTCTTTCTCTGTCGCGATGCCTGCGCGTACATTCGATTCTTTATTTTTCGATTTTGCTCTGCAGAAAGCTTCTGAAAAAAAATGGAATCATTCGGTCAATATAACATTTCATTGATGGCAATTTTCAAGCCAATTTTTTTTTCAGAGGAACTAAAAATATACATGCTCGCTGCAATCATGAATGTTGCTTTGATTTTGTCCAACACTCTGCTTATTATCACAGTTTACATGTAATGGTGCCAACGTTTCCTAAATTATTAGTTTTCCAAATTCATCACTGACTTCTTGATTACCAATTTAATTACTCGAACAGTTTGTTTCGGAGTAACTGGAACCAATGTTTTAATTCCAATCAAATTCTTTGGGTTTGGTGGAGTTGGACGCGGAGCTCTTTGAGCTACCGGTTGCGGAATTCGGGCAAACACTTTCTGCTCCTCGAGCTCATTATCATAGTTAAGAGAAAATGCAGAATTAAAAGCGTAGTCGTCCTGAAAAATTTTTTCATTATACCAAATACCGTGCTGAAGAAACATTTTTTTAACGACTAGCCACGCACTCAAATTTTTAGTTGCATTTTCACATATTTTTTCTCAATGAAAATATTTTTGTTGACACTGACTTTTATTCGATTTATATCTGACAATTTTATAATTGAGTGGTAAAAAAAAGTGAAACAATTTTAGTACGATTTTCGATCAAATCGGATTTCATGTTTTTAATCGTTTTTTGTTATTTATTTCAAAACAAAGTCATTGTTTTTTTTTTCATTTTCTTTTCAAAACAAAATTACCTAATAAATAATATCTTTGTTTCAAAATTTTATTCTCGAAATTACAAAAAGCTTACATATGTGTTGCCATCCCAAGACTCCAAATCCGTTCCTGAATTAAAATTGATGCTCAAAGGCGGTGAGCTATCCGTCGACGAAGATGGAACTAAACGTTGGCCAATTTATTTCCGAGCATTAATAACGAAACTTACGTTGATTTGAGGATGACAGGCTGTCTTGCGAGAATTCGAGATTGTAGAGATTCTAAAAACCGGTTTTTCGAATGCATTTCAAAGAAAATTGGTACCTCTTCGTCAAAATCCGAAAATCTCGAATACGTAGCACTGACTAGAGTGTCAATCGTTGGATTTATATCATCCAAGTCCATTCTAAAACGTTAAAATTATTAAAAAAGAAATAACGCATGGTTACTACAATGAAAGCACAATAACTAAAACTCGGTGATGATAAGTTAATTAGGTCAACTAAATGAATGTTGTTAGGTATTAAAAACCGATAAGAAACGACCCTGAAACGAAGGACGTCGACGAAAATCTCGGGTAAGGTGTGTACCAAGCAAATAACCAAAAATTGGACATTTGCCAAGATACACAGGATGCGCTCCTACGAGCTGCACGATGGAGCGTGTTTGCGCAAGGCCAACGGATTTACATTCAATAATCAAGGCCAAGACGATAATAAGAGGCCAACACGCTCCGTACAGAATCTTCTGGCGACATTAGGCTAATGGTATTTTTTTTATTGCCTATCGCGGTTTTCACTGTCGCCTCTATAATATTCTACATCTCTCACCTTATACCTCTCGCCTTGCTGCTAATAGGAACACTATTAATTTGAAAGAGACGTAAAGATGTGAGCTCTCAGCAGCGTGAGGCGAATGGGCAGTCAGGAATGCATATACACATGTGAATATATAGAATGATAACAATGCAATCGTGGGAACATTCATACACATATATATATATATGTATATGTAGATTTGAATTATTTACAATATATTGCAATTTTTACACAATGGAAAACCGCAAAAATCGATTTGAAAGATTTTGGGGTCGAACAAAATATGAAAAACGTTAGTGAAACAAAAACCATGGTAACAATATAGAAAATGACGGAAATTGGTTTTCTTTCGTTTATGTCAAAAATTTTAATCGCGAAATGAACCAATGTGATTTGAAATACGATCGACTCGTCAATTATGGGATTAGCACAACATAAATGTGCCACAAATGGCTTCATGCATTATTGATTTCGGATTACTGGAATATTAATGGTCAAAGAATCAATCGTACATTTGTTTTGTGTCGTCTTCGCATTGAAGATTTATGGGTTTCTATGGAGCAAACAATGAAAAACGTGATGAAAATTAGATTTTAATCAATTTATTCGGCATTCGCTCGCCAAATTTCAAAAAAAAAAGATCTCGAAAAATCACTTTGGGAACAATTGGTTATATTGAAAATCTATTCATAAAACTTTCCACAAGCGATATTGCTTTAAAAAAAGGAACAGAATTGGAATACATATGAATGAAAAAAATTAATTATATTGTATATCCATTGTTATATAAACGAAAAAGTAGAACCTGTCGTTTATAATAAAACTGGCAAGTTGAAGAATGTGGAAAAACAGAAAAAAAATGTACGGAGCTTTTAAATGGTGAAATGCGAATTGGTGAAACAAATATTTGATTATTCCTTTCAAAAAATTATCAAATGTGTTGTTTTTAGATTATAATTGAAAGAAAATCTTAGTGTTTTATTTTGGCATATTTTCACGCTGGAATTTTTGAAATGAAAATTCACAAAAAAATGCATCTTTCAATTTATGTGAAGGAATTGTGCCTGTTAATTCTAGCCAAAGTTTGACAAAATGATCATCTCACAATTAAAAAGTCATTTAGATATTGTCTACATTTAGTTAAAATTGGGTGATGCAAGAAATATTTGAAACTCCACTTGAAAATTAGGGGTCGTCGCTAAAATACTCGTGTACAATATTCATCAGACGCATGCATATTTCGGACCAACTGAAATTTTTATGAATTTGCTATATATTCTTCAAGATATATACTTTTATTATTCAAAATTAAACAAACTAATCATTTCTCAATGAATTTTTTCATGGAATCTTCTTTGAACGTTGTTACAATTTTTGTATCCAGTCCAGATTTTCTTTGTTATTTTTAAATATTTAAAAATTCTTGAAAGAATTTTAAAACGAATTCGACAATTGTAGAATGAAAATATAAATGTTGGCAAGCCCTTAGAAATCTTATAATTTCTGGTTGCCATATTCGAAGCCATTTAGCAATTCACAGAAACATTTCAATAATTATAGTCGAATGTTTATGAATACATCGCAATGCTATTCTCGAGTGAATGTTTTTTCCGATTCACAAATCTCTGCCACATAAAAAACAAAAAATGATGGCATTATATTTAATTGTCAATACCAACTTTTATTTTCCATTCTAAAGAAACTTAAAATGTTCAAAATGCATTGATATAGTTATGTTAATCGAATCTTAATAAAGTGGAACATAATATGTATGTACAATATTGCTTCATGCAAATTATTCTATAACAAATTATTTAATCAATGCTAAACTAGCAGCAACAATTGTTGAATTTCTTGTATTTTCCACCATTCCGCATGGTAATGCTAAAGCTATTTAGAAACATTTTGAATTCTCAGGCAAAACATAGCAATTAGCTAGAAAATACCAAAACAATTATGGTCCCCTCTCCAGATAAGCATGACTTTTCGAAAAACGCCATTTTGAGCAAAAATTTATTTCTTTTTGTTTCGGATTGAATATTTAATTCATATTTTATCGAATTTGCCAACTTTTTAATCCTTTAAGTGACAGAGAGATCGTCATTAATCTTTACTAAATACTAGCTATTCAACAAAAAGAAAAATTTATTATTCTCTTTTTTTACCTGAACTTGTTTGATCATTCCCACAAATCGTTCTCGAATTCCATATTTAGCTGTCTCTTTGCAAAGTTCAGTTAAAATTGGTAGTTCAAAGCCTTCTGATAAAATCAAAAATGTTCAGGTAGCATGGCAGGTGAAAGTATTTTCGACTACGTCAAAGTAAGCATTAAAATGCAGTAGCTGGGCAAAACGTTTAGTTTTCATCTGAGATAAGTAGCCATGCTCTACGCACCGTTTCTCAAAAATCAGAATTCGACTTTGACTGATGAAGCCGTTGAGAATTCCATCACCTTATTCACTGCTACTTTCGCCCTATTTATTCCATACCTTTTCCTGGTTATGTTCTTTTACATGGCGAGAAAAACCGATAATCGGGTTTGATATCGCTGTAATAAAAAGTGGGTTATTTAATAATTATTTTAGCAGCCACACTATATCATTCAACTACACTTTGTCGGATGTGGATCATTATGCTTCCTGGGAACATTTTTATTCGCTATATTACTTCTCGTGTTTCAATCATCAAACCTTTTTGGCACTGCTTTTGAAAATTTCTATTTTATCAACTTTCTTTGTACATGTAAGTTGCCAAGCGGTGAAGTGCCTAATAATTATGTTACAGTAATTTTCAAGCTAGTGATTTCCTCTCCAGTGCTCATTTCAACTATTTTTTACCATTTACTCTTTGTAACATCCTTACAAAGGCTTATTCTCATTTCAAACGCTAAAGTGGGAATGCAACTTCTTACTGGGTAACATTTTCGTCGAAAAAACTCAACCTATTTTTTATTGAATTTCAGAAGACGACTGGGTCTGAAAATTGCAATACTTTACTTAATTGCATTAATATCGGGTATTAGTAAGTTGATTCACATGACCAAACCACAATATGTGAGCGCACACGACGAATTTTGATTAAGAAGTCAAGAATTTGCAGCTGGAAGTTGTCATGCTGATGGTGACAATCTGCCTCTTCGGAATTTCGTATTTCTTTATTCGACACATTGAGCGACGCCTAATTGCCTCAGCGCATACAACCGTATTAAGGCAAACTGTGCCGATTGTTGCGATTCAATCGGTATTAAACGCATTAAATATCGAATTTCAAGATTGTTTCAGTTATTTACATTGATTGAGTTGTATGCAATACAATCGCAAAAACCTACATCCATCATCTATTGTGTTCGCACTATTGAAACATTCTCTTTGTCATTTCTTGGACCGTTGATAATGATATTGGGCAGTCGGTCAAAATGTCGAATTGTGTGGGCGATTGCAACTTGCCGATGGGATGAGAATTACGGAAGAGGAGAATTATATACTTCGAATCAAACACCTATGGATATCAGCAATGCTGTCAGCTTATCTCCGACCCCAACAAATCGATTTTAAATTATTATTGCAATCTATTTATTTTTCAATTTTTTTCTTTAAGCACAATTTCATAATTCATTTGGCATGAAAAAAGGAACAGCAGAATATTTTTTTCAATAATTGTGTTTAGATTCTATAAACATATTTCTGTAAAAACTTTATTCTTAAAAACAAGTTACGATGAAATTAAGAATTGATGATGAAGCCTTGAGTGATCGATATTGAGACTGACGACTTGCTGTCGTTGAATTACTTGGGCATCGGAGCCGGTGGCGGCTTCTCCTTGGTCTCAGAGCGAGGACGAAATGAAAATGACGACATTGTAAGAATACTGAAGAATCACACTTGGAATTTTGTGCACCTTTTATGCCACAAAATTCAATAATCGAATGATCACATCAAATATAATAAAATAATTCGATTATGTTTGAAAGAAAAAAACTAAAATTAAAAATATAGGAAACGATTACGTCATAATTCTGCAAAAAAGACTTTTTTATTTTGATTTTATTAGGTATACTACACCAAAGTTTTGTAACAATTTGTTTGTCTCAATTTGTTTGTCTCAATTTATAATGCATTAAAGAACAGTTCGACTTTAAAAAATCGAGCAATTGGAAAAACGAGAAACAATAAATGCGCATTTCTATTTGATAGCTGAAATATTTTTCAAAAAAAATAGGCAATATTTTTCTTTATTTTCCACTTTCAACATCTCTCCGAGCCTTTTTCTTAAATGTTTGGTCTCATAATCAGAAGGAAATTTTAGTTACCATGGATATATTCGACGTATACTGCCTCACTTATCGCACACTCTCTTGCCATATGCCAATGATAGACGTTGCCGTGGCCCGCGTAGATGTCCGCACATTGAGAAGAGGGGGTATATAAACCGCGCGCATTTGAATGCATTCGTTCTTCCGAGAACATATACTAAAATTGGAACAATACAGAGAAGATTAGCATGGCCCCTGCGCAAGGATGACACGCAAATTCGTGAAGCGTTCCAAATTTTTTGTGCAATTTTGTTCGTTATTTTTTTTCTATAAAATTCCAAGCAAATTTTAAAAAATAATTTTAATATTTTTTTTTTCAAAACGAAGTTTAATTTAACCTTTTTAAATTATCATTTTTTCCAATGCACATCTATACAACATAAATATATTTGGTCCCAAATGATTAGATATAAAAGTGAGTTTGCGCATCGAATTAATATTGCCCATAATTATTGTGTTTCATTGAGTAACTGTTTTCAAAGAATTTTCGTTAATTTAAAATATACTTTTGAACAATTTATTAACGATGAATAAAGTTTTGCTGCACACACATATATATTTACAGTCTCCGCGAGTGGCTACTGAAAGTGTTTATTAGGGCTGCAAGCGAGAAGTGTCAATCAAACATTCTAAGTCACTACGATGATCGACAAATTTCCACTATCCTACAATTGAAACGAAGCATTTAGCGATAATAAGTAATAATACGAGAAAAAAACATACGAAAAACGACAGAGAAGATGTGTGTGTGCACGATGAAAACTCGACACGTTTATTGCGAACAAGACGATGAAATTCAATAGGTGTGATGGGGGACGATAAGTGATAATTGATTACAATTTTAAGACTGGTGATGACAATAATGAGTGGGATTTCAGTGAAGTTCGAGACGATTCATTCTCAAATTCACTTCTGCTCGGCAGTTGCCCTTGTTCGACTTCGGATTCTGACAAGGCACTGCTCAGCAGAGTCGGCTCTCTCCTCAGCAGTCTCCAAAGATAGTTGAACGGTTCTGTACTTGCTCAAATGGTTGTTGGCTTGCTCCTCCTAAAATCATCAACATGTTTGATTGCAATTTCGGTTTATATTACAGCTTCATCGAGTTGCTTCTTTTGCAATTTGAGTTTAGCGGTAAGCTTCTCAACGAGTTCTTGAAGTTTGTCGTAGTTCTTCTTGTCTTCGGCGACCTGGAATTCAAGCTCGCGGACCTTGCGGTCAGCACGAGCCATGGTCTTTGTCGCTTCTCCGGCGCGGCGGGTCTCGGTTTCCAAATCGGTTTGGAGAGCCTTGAGGCGTTGCTCAGCCTTTTGCACGGCCTTGGCACCACCCTTCATCACGGCAGCCTCGGCAGTGTCAGCGCGCTCTTGAAGATCCTGAATGATTGCCGATTTGTTAGTCTTCCGTTTGTTTAGCGGTTATTTGCGCAAGACGCGCACCACTTTACAACAAAGTTAAGATAACGAACCTTGACGGCGCTCTCGAGTTGCTTCTTGAATCGTTCAAGCTGTTGCGATTGCTCTTGCTCGTGACGCAAGTCCTCGGCCAGCTTGGCGGCATCAGAAGCAGCACGGCGTCCGCGGTCTTCGGAAGCGGCAAGTTCGGTATGAGCTTCGGCGATATCGCTCTTGAGAAGAGCGATTTCATTATCGAGTTGGCTCTTGGCGGCAGCCAAAGCAACATTGTTGGCGTTGAGTTCGTTGTTCTGCTCCTGGTGTTCCTTCACCGAAGCCTCAACAACACGACGGGCTCGCTCAATCTGAATATTACAAGTTACTAGGAAAAGTGTTTGAACGTATTTACAGCTTCGAGCTTGACAATGAGCTCTTCTTGCTCTTGCTTGGCGACTGCCAATTTTCTTTCGGCGGCCAACAAATGCTCGCGGAATTCTTCGCGTCTCTTCTGTTCCTCATCAACGGTTTGTTGCAACTCGCGGATTTGGTCCAAATAACGTCTGAAAGGCAAAACAATAAAAACTGAAAATTATATTGATTATCGGCACCTAATATTCTTCTGGGCATCTTCGTTCGCTTTGTTGGCGTGATCGAGAGCGATCTCCAGCTCGTTGATATCGGCCTCCAACTTCTTCTTGACACGGAACAATTCGCTCTTGGCTTTGGTCTCCGAGTCGAGGGTGGCCTGGATGCTGTCGATGGTCTGTTGGTGTACCTTGCGGTGGTTCTCAAACTCTTCTTCCTTCTCGGCAATTCTCTTCTCGATCTCAGCACGGATTTGCGAGACCTCGATCTGGCATCTAAGAGCCTTTGACTCTTCGGATTCAAGGGCAGCTTCGGCCTCATCGAGTCCACGTTGGAGCTCTTCCTTCTCCATCTCCAATCGGCGAAGGTTCTTGGAAAGAGCGTGAGTGGCGCGTCCTCCTTCGGACAATTGTTCTGTGAGATCGCGGACCTCATCTCCCAAAGATTTGTTCTCTCGGCGGAGTCCTTCAACCTGGTCAGAGAGAGTGTCGTGTTGTCCACGGAGCTTGTGAGCTTCTCCAGCTAATTGACGAGCATCTCTTTGAGCTCCATCCAACTCGAGGTAAAGGTCGTCGACCTTCTTCTTCCATTCATCAATGACCTTATCGAAGGCCTTCTGCTTCTTCTCCAACGAGGAAACGATTTGAGCGTGGTGTTCAGCTTCAAGTCTGTTGGCGTCCGCTTCAGCGGTCAAGCGGCTGCGGGCATTCTCCAAAGCAACGATCTTAGCGTTGCAGGCATCGAGGGCGTCTTGGATCTCGGAGGTCTTCTGGTTTTGTCTCTTCTTGACCTCGTCAAACTCATCAGCTCCGATAAGTCCCTCGGTCTCGAACTTGGTTCTCCACTGTTCAAGCTCAACGGTGGCCTTCTGAAGTTGACGGTTGCATTCGTTCTTTCCAGCAACCTCATCTTCAATGGACTCCTTGAGCTGCTCGAGCTCGCGGGCCAAGTTCTTCGAGAGGTTGGAAAGGTTTTGGCGTTCGCGGCTTTCTTCCTCGGCTTGTCTCTTGGCTTGGTCCAATTCGTTGGAGAATTGAAGCTTGAGGCGATTGGCAGCCTGGATTTTGGCTTCGAGCTCCTCGACTTGACGGGCGAGGTCGGAGTTCTCCGAGTTAAGTCTTCCCTTCGATGAGACAAAGTCTTGCAATTGTCTCGATTGTTCGTCAGCCTTGAGGCGAAGCTCGAGATGTCGGACTTCGTGGGTCTTAGCGATGCGTTCTTGATCGGCACGAGCCTTAGCTTCTTGATCAAGAGCAGCAGATGACTCATCAAATTCACGCTGAATTTAACAGTTAAAATATTGAAGACATTTTTTTGTCTACCTGCATCTGGGCCTTCTCCTTCTCAACACGGGCCTTCTGCTTTTGAAGCTGCTCAACTTGGTCGGAAAGCTCTTGAATAGCATCAGATCCCTTCTTCTTCAGAAGGTTGAGCTGCTCGGCGAACTTGAGTCCAGTCTCGTCAAGATCACGTCGAAGTTTGGCGAGTTCGGCATCCTTTTTCTTGCCAAGCTCAATTTGGGCAGCGGTAGCGCGAATTTGGTCTTCGAGTTGCTCGGTAAGCTCGTCGTACTCAGCTTGTTGCTCAGATCTATAAACCAATATTTAAGAACAACGAATTCGGAATGTTTTCAAATACCTTGCGCGGTCAGCACGCTGGCGAGCGTCCTTCTCATCAGCCAACTGATCTTGAAGATCCTTCATTCGGGCTTCGTCTTGTTGAATACCCTTCTGGAGCTTCGCGACGGCGGCTTGTTCATCTTCAAGCTTCATTCCCAAATTGTGAAGCTCGGTCTCCTTGCGTCGGAGGGCATTCTCAACGTCGCTTTTCGACTTGTTCAATTCGTCCAAAGTCTCCTGAGCGATCTTGAGCTCGCCTTCAGCCTTTCTCTTGGCCTTGTCCATGTCAGCGCGGTTTCTCTTCTCACGTTCCATAGTCTGCTCAGAATCTTCAAGGGATTGCATGAGTTTAGCCTTGAGCTTGTTGGCGGCGAGATTCTGCTCTTCGGCGGCTTGAAGGTCTTCGGTGAGCTTTTTGTTCTGCTCTTCTTGGTTCTTGCGTTCTTTGTTATGTTTGGAGATGTTCTCGTCCTGCTGACGCATTTCATCTTGAAGAGCTCTGATCTGGTGCTCCTTGGCGTTCTTCTCTGCCTCAACCTTCTTCAAAGAAAGATCGACATCTTGGCAGTTCTTCTTCAACTCGGCGCATTCAGCTTCAACCTGCTTTTTCTGCTTAATGATCTCAACAGATCGAGACTCTTCTTCCTCCAACTTCTTGTTAGCGTCTGCCAATTTTCCTTCAAGAGCGGTCTTCTGCTCGTTCAAAGCCGTCATGCGCTCTTCAACTTCGCGGGTGCTGCCTTTGGTGGCTTCCAATTGAGCCAAGAGTTCGGCGGTCTCTTTGTTGAGACGCTCGGCTCCCTCTTGGAGTTGGCGCTTTGTCTCTTCTTCTTTCACCAACGTGTCCTTGAGGGTGGCCACGGTCTCTTGAAGCTTCTCGTATTGAGCCTCGATTTTTCCAGAGTTGACAAGCGGGCGAACTTTTCCGTAAAGTTTGAACCAAACCCAGGTGCGAAGATTGGCCCAGTTTCGAACGTTTCTTTGGATGACCTTTAGAGCTTCAATTTGATCAATACGGCGTTTGCGCTCGATCAATTGGAAGTACCATCTTCCTTGAGCCTGAAGTCCGGTGATCAAAACAGCAAGCTTGGTATCGCGTTGGTCTTCAAGATGGGCAACAATACCGGCCTTGAAGAACACCTTGGTAAGACCGACACGGAAGTTGTCCTCTTGGAGGACTTTCTCTTTGACGAGTCTCGCGAGCATTGCCGTAGATCCTTTTTTAGGATCGGCCTTTCCAATAAGGGCCTCGTCGGCAGCCAAAATAGCGTAACGCTGGACAAAGTCTGGATGGAGGGTTCTGTTGGGGAATCCCTTGCGGCAAATACGGATTCCTTCGAGCACACCGTTGCAAGTGAGCTGATTCAAAACAAGAGCGGCATCCATAACTCCCGAAGCCTTCTTCTCGTTTGGAATGATACAACGGATGAAGTGAGGATGGGTCGAGTTGAGCATCGACATGAGATTGTTCAACGATTCTCTGTAGAGCATAGAAACAGTCATGAACGAGCCAGATTTTCCCTTCTTCTTTCCACCGGTCGAAGCTAGAACAAAACAAACAAATTAAAAAAAAATTTTTTTAATATATACTTTTGGCAGCAGCGGCGGCTTCCTCCTGAGTGGTGTAATCTTGCCACACTTCGACGAGAAGTGCGTTTTCCTTTGAGGTCTTCATGACTTGGACAACGGTGTCGTTGAGAGGGTCCTTGTTCTTCTCGAGCCAGTTGCTCACATTGTAACGAACAGTTCCAGCATAATGACGCATGGCAAAATGAGCTTCGGCCTGTTTTCCCTTTGGTGGTTTTGGCTTCTCAAAGTTCGGATGTTTGCCCAAATGTTGGTCGATAAGCTTCTGGGCAAGGGTCTGATCAGTAGCCTTTGGAACAATGCATTCCTCATCAAGCATGGCAATAATACCAAGTGGCTGAATTAAAGAATTTTTCTCAAAAAATTGATTTGTTGCCGATTACCTTCTCAATGAGTTCAATACAAGCTTGCAAATCGAGTCCAAAATCGATGAAGGTCCATTGGATACCCTCACGAGCGTATTCTTCCTGCTCGAGGACGAACATGTGATGGTTGAAGAATTGCTGGAGTTTCTCATTGACAAAGTTAATCCAAAGCTGCTCGAATGAGTTGAACTGAAACTCGCAAATACAATATTTTCGATCAGATTTGAGAAATTACGTCGAAGATTTCGAAACCGGCGATATCCAACACACCAATGAAGAAATCGCGGGAAATTCCTTTCTGGTCAAGAGTGATGTTACATTTCTTGACAAGCCAGTGGAAGATTCTCGCATAAAGACCTTTGGCCATGGCGCCAACGGCCCAGTTGACTTGCTCCATGTTCTGTCCCTTGTTGACCCATTCGTTTCCAACCTTGACACGTGGACGGGTGAGAGCTTTGAGGAATTCATCGCAATCAATTCCAAATGTTTTGGCGGCTTTTTCGGCATCTAAAATTTCAAAATGCGATCACAGTCCACTGACACATTTTTCTTGGAATACTTATATTTTCAGGAAAAAAATCTTTGGTGAGAGCCGCGGATGCGAGTAGGTAAACTTTAAACATAGCACCCCCACACTTGAGAGGTCTTAAGCAAATAGAGCAGAAAAATCTTTTCTCGTTTTTGTAGCTACTAAAAATTGTCTGATAGATAAGAAACGAACCTTCAGTTCCATCAGTTTCGGCTTGTTCTTCACGTGGGCGTTGCTTGAATTTCATGTTACCCATGTGCATCATAGCGGCGACCAAACGATAGCACTCCATCTTTTCACGTGGCGAGAACTTGAGGATGTCGAAAGCTTCATCAGTAAGAGCGTGCTCTTCCTTGTCATCAAGACCATCGATAGTCAACTCAGCCTGAGCAATGAACCAGTAATCCTTCACCGGTTTGTCAAGGCACAAGTCTTTCTTGAGGGTTGGAATGTGGCCAGAGAAGAGCTGGTAGAAAATGTGGTAGCAACGCTCTCCAGGTGCTTGACGAATGACACGAGATTTCTCAAGGAGATCTGAATTATTTATATTAATTGAAATTGTTCAGATTTCGCTGTTACAGTGTTCAATATCGCAGGAAGCGACACGTCCTTGCTTCGAGAAGTGGATACGGATGAACTTTCCGAAACGGGACGAGTTGTTGTTACGGACAGTCTTGGCGTTACCGAAGGCTTCAAGGACTGGATTGGTTTGGACAATCTGGTCCTCAAGGGTGACCTTCTTCTTGTCGGATTTGACTTCGTCTTTCTTGCCGAAAGTTTCTTGTTGGGAAGCTCCGACGGCGGCGAAATAGGAAATAACTTTCTTGGTGTTCTCCGTCTTTCCGGCTCCAGATTCTCCAGTAATGAGCATCGATTGGTTTTCATGGTTTTGAAGCATGTTTCTGTAGGCTTCATCGGAAACGGCGAACAAGTGCGGTGGCATTTCGGTACGTCGTTTTCCCATGAACATGCGGGCGACCGAGTCGGTGTAAATTGGAAGGCGTTTGTATGGGTTGATCACAACACAGAAAAGACCCGAATAAGTCTAGAAATGGGATATTGCGTGAAATTCTTTAGTTATTGATTATTTCTTACGTAAATCAGCATGGCAGCATAGCGAGCACGGAGATTGTGAAGGACGGAAGCATCATTAAGGAAAGTCAAGTTTGACATATCCTCGGTCTTCTCGAACTTCGGTGGGTTCATCTCTTGGATGACTTCCTTCTTGACGGTCTTCTAAATCATCAGACACTATTATGAGCAAAAATTGGGAATCGCTATAATTACCTCAACGCCCTGGCCGACCTGAACGGTGACAGTGTCTCCAGATGTCTTCGTGATGATAGCCTCAACATATCCCTCTTCGGCATCAGGAATCCAACAGTTTTTCTTCGAATCATACGCTTTCGATTGATCCTGAAATAAATGTTATCCGGTAAAAAGAAACAATTCGATTATGAATATGAATGATGGGACCTTTAGCATTTCTTCGCGAGAACGGCGAAGATATTTCCATCCTGGGTCGTTTTCGTAATCCATTGTGTCTTCGGTTTCGACTTGTAGTTGATTAAAAAAATGAAAAAAACTGTTTGGTCTTGAAGGAAGAAGACGACCGCTCGACGGAGATGCGCGAGCCTGGAGATAAGTATGAAATTCACGGTCTGTTCTCCTCGCTTTTTTCCTCCCGTGGGTGGGTGGATAATATGTGATGGGCGGAGATATCCAATTGTAATTCTAGGTAGCGCGAGAGAATGCAAATATACCCTAGGAGGGGGGGGGGTGAGCGGGCGCTAGAGGCGCCTACCAATCCCTCGCGCCCTCCATTATCGTGCCCACTTGTGTGTGTGTGTGTTTCAAAGCTTCTTCATCGTTATCTCTTCGCCTTCATTTTTTTCGCAGTCTAAATGAGAGATGTCAATCCGCGCGGAGAGTCGTCTACCGTGCAAATAATTCCACAGGCAGTCTCGTTGCTCATCCAGAACAATTGAGTACAGCGCGCGCAAAGTGCTGCTTTTGCTGCCATTTGCTACTCTTATCCACACACACACACACACGCATACGCATACAAACACATACCAAAGAGCTAAAGGGAGAGACACAGATTTTGAGAGAATTGAGCTCATCCACCACTTTAGCTATCGCACTGTTACCAACCTATCTTGAGATCATCATTGCCGACGCATAGTATTTTTTTTGTCGCCGACTTTTTTCCAGGGGAGGCAAAACTATCAATCGAACTGATCTTGTCGAGAAGCGGATAAAATTGGAACCAGTACTGCAAATGATGAGAGCACACAAACATCAATTATTGATGTTCAGGGCGGTTGACGTTTAAAGAAAAGTAGCTAAATATGGATATATTAAGTTCTGGAAATTATTGTGAAACTGACAATAAAAATTTTGCCGAAACGTCGAATATTTGCATATAAATCGGGCAAAATAAATGAGTGGGTCCTAAAAGAAGAATTCTGCATAAACCTCGTACTGATCATCTATTAGTTTAGCTTTAAATTAAATTATGAAAAGACCAACGCGCAATGCGGAACATTGCGACTGAAAAAGGCATAATCAGCTAAACTACGTAAATATTCTATGAAATTTGTTCACTTTTTCCAACGTTTAAAATGATGTACAATTGAAAAAATTAAGATCAACCAGACCACTCTCACAAAAATATTGCATTATAATTGATCATTTTTCGTTAGATAAAATAATTGTGATGATCTTTGAATATGAAAGTGTCTCGACGCTGAACATTTCAGACATTTTTCATTTCAAAATTACTACAAACTGTTCTTAATATAAAAGCTAGATCAATCTACCACTGTCTAATCATTGAATTCCCATCACGAGGCGAATGATGCAAATTTGTGAAAAACACAGATTCATTAGAACATTATAGTTTGTGATATTGATAACATTATCTCTGCATAACCCGCTAATTGTAAATTTTAAACGAAAATGAACCAATGGAAATTTGAATTGCTGGTTGTTGAAACTTGAATCTGCTCATCGTTGCCCCAGGGTTCTGATCAACGAGAATTACGAATGATTTGCAATCGTTTTATGAGCCATTTCCCATTGATTATCGCATGATTTTAAAAGGAAGCGAACACGCGAAAAAACCCCCTATTGGAACTGATAAGAGTCCCCGCCTAAACAAGGTGTCTTGTCGCACATGCTCACGCGAGTATAACGATAAGGGTCAGAGAAATATCAACCATTTGACATTCATTTGTATTTTTGATGAGCTCTGAAAAGGAAACGCTCTTGCACACAAGGTTTGCTTCTGGAGTTTTGTTAAAAGTTGCTCAATTTTAAGTCTTTCATTTCATTTTAGATTCCCGTCATACAATGGAAATGATAACACAAATTTTCACTGTCATGATGAACCAATTGGCGCTAACAATGAATGTAACAAAAGGGCTACTCGGATACTTTGGGCGACTGTCGTCCTTTGCCTATTTTTTATGATTTGTGAGGTGATCGGTGGAATCCTTGCTGGTTCTCTCGCAATTGTTACCGATGCCGCACACTTGGTGCGTTTATGGATGATGAAAATCTATAATTAACTCGCAATTGCTTGCAGCTCACCGATTTCGCATCGGTTCTGATATCTCTTTTCTCTCTATACATTGCGCGGCGTCCGCCATCACAAACAATGAGCTTTGGTTTTCATCGAGCAGGTAGCTTTGAGAGTTGTTTCTCTCAATGAAACACACGCACGCAGCGAGACGAGCGAGCTCAGCAAATGATTGTTTTTAGAAGTACTCGGCGCATTTTTCTCCGTGTTTCTTATATGGATTGTGACTGGCGTGCTCGTTGTGCTCGCGATAATGAGAATCGTTGATGGAGACTATGAAGTCCAAGGAGGGATTATGGCAATAACTGCGGGGCTTGGAGTAATTGTGAATCTCATGTAAGGTTGCGAAAAAGCGAAATGAGAACTTGCTTAGATACACTCATTTTCAAATAGCTTGTAGCCGATCCAAAATTCCAGAATGCTTGCGCTTCTCTACTTTGGCGGCCATTCGCATTCACACGGTGGGGGTTCTTCTCACGGGCATGCTCATGGTATAAAAAAGGGTTACTTTGATATTCACACGACAACGTTTAGATGGAAAGAACATCAATGTTCGTGCTGCGTTCGTGCACATTCTTGGCGATTTGCTGCAAAGTTTGGGTGTTTTAATCGCGGCGCTTTTCATCTATTTTAAGGTGCAAACCCAATGATTTTAACAAAAAAAAAAAAATAATATGTTTTTAATTTCAGCCAAGTTGGGTTATAATTGATCCCATCTGCACCCTTTTATTTTCGGTTATCGTTTTATGCACCACAATTTACATTTTACGTGACGCTATTATTGTGCTACTTGAAGGTGAGCAATCTTAGAACATTAACCTGATATGATGTACTGAATGAACATTCCAGGAAGACCAAATAGCATAGACTTTTCCAAAGTTTTTGCATCTCTAGCCGATATTGACGGAGTCAAGAAAGTTCACGATTTACGGATTTGGTGTTTAACAATGGATAAAGTAATTGCGTCAAGATATCAATAAAATCCACGTCACATATTTCAGATCGCGTTGAGTGTTCACTTAGAAGTCGACAGTGATTCAAAATCACAAGAAGTGTTGCGAAAAGCAAGATCAATGTTGAAATTGACGTATAATGTTCACGAGATAACTGTACAAATAGAGGAATATCGTGAAAATGATTGCGGAAAATGCGATGTTCCAACAAAATAGTTGTCGAAAATTGACTTGAACAAAATACAAATTTTTAATAAACTTTATTAATTATATAGTCTAGTTCCTCGTTTCTCTTCGTAATATCCGCTGCAGCCTTCCTCGTCCAGCTCCTTGTCCTGCTTCTCGCACAATTTTTGGAACATATCATTGAAATCGTTCTCAATTTGTTGTAGATGCTTATTGCGAACTCGCCGACAAAACCGACGTCCGTACTCTCCTTCTTTAACTAGGGTTACCTGCAGTTTGAGTGAAATTTAATTTTTTTAAATTGTGAATGTGCAATTTAAGAGTGAACACTGATTGATGAGGAGTAGAACATCGATAAAATGTACCGTTTCACCATGGTAGAAATCATTGGCGTGTCTCAACGCGAAACAGAAAAGGAAGCATAGAATGATGACAAGCCAGATATCCGAATTATCCCTTGAAGCCTCATTGTGCCTTAAAAAACTTTTTTGAATTTAAAAACAAACAATCTGATGGTATATTGTCTTTATTCAATTAATCAAGCACCAATGGAAAAACGCTTTACGCGTAGTGTAAATAAGACGCACAAAATTGCGATCCAAGGTGGCACTTGAAAATGTTTCCGTCGATAGTTTTTTTTTTCAAAATTGTGGGCGATTTGGGATGTTCAATACTCTAGGATAGAACAAAAAATAAAAAGTAGTAAATGTTTGCTTATTTTTTTTGAGAAAAATCGAACAACTTTAGAACAAATCACAACGGGAAGAGTTATTATGTAAAGAACTTCATTAGGATTCTTGATAATTAGAAAAGTGTCGAATCAGAAAAAAAATGTGGCTCAAGAAATCTCCTAAAATTTTTCAATATCTGATCATTTCATATTCAAAATAATGGATTTCTTTGCAACATTATTTTCAGGATTAAGAAATGCATAGCCGACACCAACCCAATTATGAGGAAATCGCAATATTGCTGAATAATGAGATACCTTGGGTTCTCCGAGCAATTACAAGTCGATGAGAGGATTACCAGCGAGCAGGTGAGAAATAGTTGCATTTTGTATTTCAAAGTATGAAATCTCTCCCACCCCCGCCGAATTAAAATTTCGCATTTTTGACACTTCGTAAATAAAGCAGCTCTGTCGAAAGTTGAAACAATAAATGTGGAAATTTTCGATACAACAAATTGATAGAACTTATGAGTTGGAGCTATTTAGAAATGGGAATTGTGCGGCTGAAAAATATAGTAATGTGGATGTTAAAGAATGTTAAAGCTGCTCTACTATTGGCTCATTCTTCATATGGATACGATAATTCTCCGCCCACAATAAGTGAGCATGAAAAACACAAATCTTCACGAAATGCAATATTCATATCTTTCACAATCTTTCTTGTCATCATTTTTTTTGAGTGAACAAATTTTTATCGGCAATTTTATATTGGGTGATCATTTTTTGGAAGTTCAATTTCCAAATTGGTGGCGGAATGCAAAATTTTGTCGATTGCTATGATATCGCATCTGTTCTGGATGATGAACTTTTCAAGTCAAATGTGGAAAAATATAGTTCTGAGTCTTCAAAACTAGAAATTCTACTGTTACTTATATTTAAATTATAACAGATGTAGTATTCAAATTCAAAATGTTCAAATGTGGCTTTGAAATTTTGAAAAGTACGAAAAAACTCAAGGATTTAATAATTAAAGTCCTAGATTTTAAAAAATCAATTTGAAGATTTAGGCAACTTCCAGAAAAGATTTCAAACGACCAAAATGCTATATAAATTTTTTCCATTTTCTGTTAAAATATTAAATAATAATTTGTCTTATATAACATTTTCATTAGTTGGCTGTTTTCTAGAAGATTATTCCTTCAATTTCCAAGAACATCAATTTTACCGAAGCTAGATTTGTTTTCACATATTACCAATTGTAGCGCTTGTCACATGAGCATACGGTAATATTACTTACCAATGATGCTGCCATATTGTAGCTAAATGACTACAAATAATTCGTGTTCAAGAGGGAACGAATAATAAGTGATTTGTTCGTTTCAATCATATCCTCCATGTTCACAGATAAAATTTGTGCTTAAATGGTTCTCCAAAATGTTGATCAAATTTTATTGGGCGAGATAAAATTTGAAGCAAAGTCAATTACATGTTTTCCCACTGTTTCCCTGGGCCAAGAAAATGAACTTGTGCTTATTAACAAAAGGAACTCCTTTTTGTTTTTCGCACGCCAAAAAATAAAAAAAAAGCATTCCACGAGCTATTTTTTATCACTGCCGTTGGTTGCTACGCGTACACCGTCATTATACGAAAATGCCTATTATAAGTAACACTAACCCTAAATTGGAACGTTTCGACCATTTTAAGGCTATTTTTTCTTGTTTTGTAGGAAGTCTTTACAAAGGTATTCCCAAATGATAAAAGTTATGTTCAGAAAATGGAGAAGCCAGCCGCACTTTCCCATCCTTGGATAGTACCTCAAAATCGAGGGAATGGTTTTGGATATGAAGAGCCGATTCGCCCTATTAATATTCAACGACCATTCGAGTCTGATATGAGCAATGCACGTGGATTAGACATGAACGCGCCAAGACCCCAGTTCGTACCGCATTTCCTGCCACACTTTGGTAGGCTTATCCCAAACTTTTCAAATGAATTAACCGACTTAAGGTCTACCACTTCCCGAATTTGATTATCGCTTGAATGACTTTCATACAGCTAACCTCATTGGCGCTTATAGCATGAGCCAACGTGCCAACCTACCACCACCGGCATTTAACAATTCCGCGTTTTCGTTTGCGGCGACACGTCATCTCGCACAATCCGGACAAGCGGGAGCGGTTAACCAACCTCCGTTGAATCCTCCGGTGCTAACCCCGAACAACCCACAGCCAACACATCCACCACAACAGCAGCAACAGCAACAATTACTACAACCACCGCCACTGTTACAGAAAGAGCCGCATCAATCAAATTGCAATGAAGTCACTACAACAAATAGTGAACGACTTCAAGAGAAACCGAACCATCCGAACCATCTACAATCACAGTTCCCATTTGGCGCAAAACGATTTGACGAGAAACCCGCACAATTCCCAATGACAAAGGCTGATCAAGTCAACCAGTCATTCACAAAGTCATTTCTAGATCGAAGCATGTTCGACAAGCCATTTCCCCCGAATCGGTATGTTTGGTAGTTAGGAACTCTCACAGTTAATTAATTTAAGGCTTAGTGAGGATGTTATATTTTCATCGCAAACTTTTGGAAACGGACAGTTGCCGGTCGAAATGTCTTCCTCAAACTTTCTAAAACAAGAAATTCAATCGGTATTCATTAAAAACATATTTATTCTCATATTTTCACATTTGTAGCCTCCCATTCTAGATGATTATCGTCAAAAGTATAGTCCTCCGTATGATTGCCAGGTGTGTTTAATTGTTCGAACAACGTCGAATTGTGCCCATTTTTTTCAAAATAGCTGTCTTGACGTCGTTAATAGGCAATTTTATCTGAAAACCAAGTGTTTGCAGGTATGCCTTTCCACTCACGCAAATGGTCTGCATTTCGGAGCTCGAACTTGTGCTGCTTGCGCAGCATTCTTCAGGTTCACTATAATTTAATATCCAAACTAGAATCGATTCATTTCAGAAGAACGATTAGCGATGACAAACGATACATCTGCAAAAGGAACCAGCGATGCACAAACGGAAGCCGCGAAGGCAACGGCTACAGGAAAATATGCCGAAGTTGTCGAATGAAGCGGTGCCTTGAAGTTGGAATGCAACCAGAAAGTGAGAAAAAATTGACAAACAGATTCAATCCTTGCTTTAGAAGTTCAAATAACAGACCTGCAGCTGAAACGGAACAAGCAGAATGAGACACCGACAAGAAAGACATTCGAATTCTTCCCAGCCTTCTATCCAAATATACAACATAATATTCATGCTAATATACAACCGAACCTTCAATCGAATCTTCAAGCTAATTTCCAGAGAAACATTCAAACAAGTCTTCCACCAAACCTTCAACCGAGTATCCCGACAAACCTTCAACCCAATATTCAAGCAAATCTCACAACAAGCGTTCAAAACAATATTCAGCCGAATATCCAGCAAACTGTCTGACACATTTCATCTTGTTACACTATTTATTCGATTAGGGAAGAAACAAGATTCATGAATAAATTAAAATTGTTGTTGCATTTTTTTTGGTGATAAATAAAGTGTTAAATAGTGTCAGTTAATAACGAACAAATACAAATTCTCGGGATTATAGTCACTACGAAAGGACTGGATATGAAAATTACCCGATCTGCAACGAGATCTTCTGAAACGGGCATCGGGTAAATTTTACAAGAAAACAAAAGAAAACAGTTTAAGAAATTAAGAAACAGTTTAAGGAATGAAAGAAAAAACAAATTATACGAGTTACAGATGTTACAGAAAGGAAAACAGTTACTGATTAGTATGGCTTGTAGCGCTTGTCTCGGCGATCGTCACGATCCTTTCGATCTTTGCGATCGCGATCATCTCTTCTATCGTGGCTCGAGTACTTTCTATCTTTGTCGTAGCGATCCGATCGATCCTTCGCTTTATCGTGGCTCGATGATGGCTTCTTGTCATGACTAGAAGAAGATTTCCTGTCACTCTCATACCCATGCTTCTTATACTTGTCATAGTGACTTGACGACGGCTTGTCTTTGTCAGAGTTTGATGACGACTTCTTATCGGCATCAGCCTTTGCCTTGTTGTCTCTGTCATACTTTGATGATTTGTCCTTCTCGTTATGTCTATCCTTCTCCTGATGAGACGACTTCTTCTCTTTATCGGATAATTTCCTATCCTTGTCAGAAGACTTCTTATCTTTGTCATTATTTGACGAAGATTTATCCTTGTCGTAAGACTTCTGTTTTTCAACAGTGGCTTTCTCCTTCTCATGTCCATTGGCCTTCTCCTGCTCTGGCGGAGCCTTCTCCTTCTGATGTCCTGATGATGATTTTTCCTTGTCATTGGCTGAAGACTTTTTGCCCTTGTCGTTGGATGAGGACTTCTTCTCCTTTTCAATTGCCGATGATTTCTTATCTTTGTCATTTCCCGACGACTTCTTCTCCTTCTCGCCGGTGAATGGTTGCTTCTCCTTGTCACTGCTAGATGGCTTTTTCTCTTTGTCATTGGCCGATGACTTCTTCTCCAACTCGTGGTTTGACGATTTTTTCTCCTTGTCCTGGTTGGAAGACTTCTTCTCCTTCTCACTCGAATTTTTCTTTTCCTTTTCATTGCTGGCCGATGTTTTCTCTTCATTGCCTTTCTTCGCGCTTTCTGAGCTGGATGGGACTTCTTCAGTCGCAAGAGCTGGCGAAGTCGATTCTTCAGTGTCGGCAGCGTCTTCTTCTGGCATTGGGTCCGGACTTTCTGGTGACTCAAGTTCATCGGTGCGCACTCTCTTTGAGCTTGACTCTCCAGTCTCGCTTTCTCCCGGTGAAGCATCGCGTTTGTCATTCTTCGACTTCTTCTTGTCCTTCTTCGGCTTTCTGATGTAAAGCCCAGTTTCTGGAGTGTAAGCCAGTCCTTGCGTCCTTAAATTAGTGGAATCTTATAATGTCTTTTTTGGAAATTTTTGATCACTTACTTAAAGTCGACGTTTTTAATAATTATGTTTCCATCCTCACCGCCAGTAACCAAACGTGTCTTATCTGCAGCGCAACATTTGATGATGCCATCATGAGCATGATACTCAGCAATCTTCTCAGTGCGAACACCCTTCTGGTCCAATGCAGTCAGCGTAATCTGCAAATTTCTTGTTCTATCAAACTTCTGCATATCTCAGGTGCTACCTTGTCACTGTTCTGTTTTTTCCAAACTGCAACGATTGGAATTTCATCATTCACTCCCTTAATGACGGAAACGAGCATCTCCGGCGGATCGAAGCGAACCCTGAATAATTAAATTGTCTTTGTGGACGCCTCTTCATGCCGTCCAACAACGCGAAAAAAATTTAATTTCCCCTCTATCTCAAAATAAAAAAAATATGGTCATTTTTCATTTAATTGCCAATATCCGGCCGCAAATTGAAATTTGGGTTTGGGTTTTTGTTTTTTTTTTCATCTTTCTTTGAAAGCTAAAAAAAACGCTGCCGATGAGCAAGAAAAGTGTAAATGAGACGTTTTTTCATTACCACTTTTAATGAGGCGATGATTAATAGTAGGACGAAATCAATTCATTAGAAACGTCATGTGAGCAGGCTTCAAAAATCCCACGCCCGTGTCCCCCGACTTACGCTTTTTTCGGCTTTATCTTCTCCTCGCGACGCTCTCTTGCCGAGCCGAACAGAACTTCAAGCTCATTATTGGTATCGACAAATACGCTGCAATCCTGGTTGTCTCCAATTGCATATGCAATACGCTTGTTAATTAAGCCCACTGAGCTCACCGGCTCCGATAGCTATAAAAAATAACAAAATTAATTTGAAGATTCAATGTAGTGCCTGCTTACGAAGCGAGTCCAGCGAAGAGCATTGTCCTCATCACGTTTTTGACAATTGTACGATCGAACGCATCCACTGAGATCTCCCACGATCAGACTCTGGTGATTCTTATAGAATTCCATGCTGACGATTTCCGATGTATGCTTCTTAGCATATGTCGTAATTGGCTCCTGAAGGCGTCGAATGTCGAAAAGCGTGACGACATGAGGGTGCTGCTCTTTCTAGAAAAAATTACACAAATTTTATGGGTTGTCGAAATTGATATGTTGGACCTTGCGCGAGACCCGAACGTCGGCAATTCCACCACCAAACGTCTGACTAGCTACTGCCACGTAGCTATTCGAAATGGCCGAGCAAACGACCAAATGGTTTTCCACCTCCGGATTCAAGCGAATCTTCCTTTTTGAATCTGATCGAATGTCGAACAAGTGTACACCGAATGAGTCGTCAACGGCATAGACAACAGCTGAAAATTTTGAAAAATTAAAATTTACCAATAGGGGGCATGTTTATACAGTGATTGTCCTCCTTGAAATGGAGTCCAGAAATCTGATTAGCAACCTCGTAGCGTTTGATGATGGCGGCTTTGTTCGTATCAATGACCGGGATGTAAAGATTCGCCATGTACCCGGCAGCAATATGATCATCGCCTAGGGCGATGTGCCGGACTGATGCCTAAAATATATTTATAAAAATTAGTTCCACTTTCAAGAATTGATTACCGTTTGGCTCAGCACGATCTTCACCGGCATGTTGGGATTCTTCTTGGTCTTTGGGGCCGACAGTTTCTGCAAAATGATTGAGTTGAAGCAATCGAAGGAAAAAGCAAAACGGTAATTCGAACGAGTTGCCGCAAAAAAATGTTATGACTGGCTGGCAATGCGTGTTCAAAAATATAAACATTTTTGTCGCTTGTTTCAGTGCGCGTTCGGCGCGAAACCACACGCCAAAAATCGATGGCACGTGTAGTTTCAGACGCGATAACAAAGACTGCAAGATGGAGAAACAGAAACGCGGCGGTGGAACGCACGAACGCGAGAGATTGAGGCTCGAAATTAAGAAGCAGAGCAGCATGTGTGATGCCAAATCGAATCTAGGCCACGCGACGATGGCCGCTCTGACGACGATGGCGGTGTCAGTCGTTCGCGCTAGAGCGCACTTGTCCCATTCGTTTATGAGACGTTGGAGGAATCGGGTCGATAGAGGGAATCGTTGAGTACGCCGCGTTGTCAGTTAGACACTATCGCTCCCGGACGGTGCGGGAAATGTGGCGACGAGGATTTGCCTTCAAATTTCATCAAGAAAATTTTGCTGTCACCTACTAAATTTCAATTAAACATAATTTCACTGCGAAACATGTGTTTTTTCAGTTTTTATATATTCTGTTTCTAGCAATCTAAATTAAAAAAAAGAAGATGTAAATTTTCTACATTAAATATATGCATATTACTTTCACTGCTATATTCTTTGAAAATTATTTTGAAATTGAAATATCTGCATCACAAGGCAATTCTTTACTTTCTCTGCTATCTGTCCGACCTTTCGTTTCGCAAAACTTTGCACTTAAAAAATTTCAAAATTCCAGTTTTGCTTCAAATTTTTTAAATTATTCATTGTTACTAAAATTTCGTTTCTTTTACTCAACAAAAAGCTTCAAATAGTTCCATTTGTAACTTAATTTTCGTTCTTCATCAAACCAGTCTGCCATTTTCTATGACCAATCGCGTGCACTTTTCGGTCTAGTTCATTGTTCAATTTTTGATAAGATGGTGTGAACTTTAATGCGATCACCATCTCCCAATAGCATATGTTCACGCGACATTTGCGGGACAAAGAATGATCATCTCAACAAGAAAACGTCATTGTCAGATGCTTATAACTTCTCGTGCTATTTCGTTATCGCGTTGTGGATGTTTTTTAGGTGGCCCACAATTTTCTATATCTCACATTTACTTCTCTACTTTCAGCGGGTTGTTCGGAGCTTAACTGTGTAGATTTGTGTCCAACATGGCAATACGATTCATCCGGCGTCAGATTACCAAGCGACCACTCACTTCACAAATGGCTTTAGCAGGTATTGTCAGTGTCAAACGACCGAATGGAAGAATGGTTTTTACAGTCTTAAAATCGGTGTAGATTTGCTAAATGTAAGCTGAATTAAAAAATTCTCATTTTTCTTTGCTTTTCAAGAAGCACTTTGCACATAAACAATATGTGTTGAAGAAAAAATCCTAATATTTAATGTTAATTGTCCAAACCCATTATTTTGAGGAAGCAATTAATTCAAGATTCCAATTCAACGTGACATGACTTTTTTTTTCACGTCATTAACGTACAATTTTGGTTGCAAAAGTAAACACTGTTATCTTAAAAAAAAGACAGAACTCTGCTTCAATGCTCGTTCTTTAGGTTCTTCGTAAAGCAAATAATAAAACGTCAATTAAAGTTTACTTTCAGCTTGTATTAGTGGCTCTGGCGATCGTCTCACACAGCTCTTAACTAAAAAAGATGATTGGGATAGATTTAGAACATTGCGATTCGCGTTTCTATCAGGATGTTTCATGGTTGAGTCGACATTAAAGTCAGCAAGTTTTATGTTTTTTCTTTGTTTCAGGCTCCCACAATCTTCAGATGGTATAAACTATTGAAACGATTGAATCATCAGGAAGCATTTGTGCTCAAAAAAGTTGTTCTCGACCAGGTATTTTTACGCGTTATTTTTGATATTTTACATTTCGATCCTCCTGTAAAATAAATAGAGCTACTAGTACGACGAGATGTTTACAAAAAATCAAACTCGCAGACGCATGTGGGTAAGTATTTTCGATGTTTCACCAAAACGGCTTGAACCTGTCCCGTCTTTCCGTCTGTTACAACACTATGGAATTCTTTTCTCTGTCTCTGCGATGCAGTGGTTCCTGGTCTTTCCAGCTGACGCAAGCGGATGATAGTCTTGGGCTATTGAAGAATGAAGCGTTCTCGTTGTGTGATATGAGCCCTCATGAAAAATTGTTGAGTGCAAGAATGAAATGAAAAGAAGTGTGCGATTATTACAAAATACACAACAAAATAATTGTGCTTAACTAACCATTTTGTTCGTTATCTCGTTTTTTTTTTCCAATTATATACAACTCGTGAAAGGTAGGAGAATCGTCGAGCTTAATCTCAATGCAAACCTTTTGCATCATTCTTCCAGAGTGTTGCATAAGATGATGAGAAAAATAATTCTCACCAATTTTCGACGCTTTCTTGTCGATATTTTGGACGAATCGGTAAGTTTTTTTGAATCGTTTCGGTACCCGGAGAACTGGCAGCACGGAGTAAAGGATTACCTGGATTAAAAATTTGAATTCATAAATTTATCAATCCATTTTTTTGATTTTACAAACGAAATGAAACAAAAATTGTATTGGAACCTATGCAAAATAAGATTAATTTGCAGTGCCTCTTCAGTCCGATGATCAATGCTTGTATGCTGTTCAACTTGAAAGCATTGGAGACATTCTCAATAACCAAAGCGAAGGACAACGTCAAAAAGCACTGGCCTCAGATTTACGGAGATAGTCTGAAAGTGAGTATTCTCTCTTTATTATTTCATTCATTATCTCGAATGCACTATTTTCATAATACTTTGATTGGCGAGAAAAAAACACAATGTTTCAATCAGAAAAAAATAAACAAGCGGCCTCATATTTGCACATTAATACACTAATTTTCATTAAATATTTTTTCAATGTTTTGCAACAAACTCTCATTATTTAAAATTGCTACAATTTGTAACATCTCTTCATATGATTAATTTTCAGGTCTGCCTATTGTAGCGTTTGTCAATTTCTGCTTTGTTCCCGTCAATTATAGAGTTCTTGTCAATCAGGTGATAAGCTTCCATCGAAAATTCATCCTTCTGACAAGTTTAATTTCAGTTATTCGCTTTCTTCTGGAATGCGTACATCTCCTTCAGAACTCAACGTCCGGATCTCATTGAACAAGTTTATTGAATAGTTAAATAGTTTGTTCGAATTCGTTTTACCCAGTGCAATCTCATCTCTTATGTAATTCCGTGATAAATAAATTTTTTAATGTCAAAAAATCGTTTGTTGTGGATATAAAAGAAATGCGATTCGCCGAAAGAAAATCTTTTCGGTCCCTAAAGTTCTTCAACGACCGATTCCGACAAATAACAATTTCATATTGCTCCTTTTTATGGTATTCAAGTTCAGCAATGTGGAACATTCTTTGACAAAAGGCTTCAATGCGGTTGGTTTTTGAGACCATTCAGCTCGGCGATAAACAAAATTTCCGGCAATGATTTTAAAAGTTTTGGTTGAGAAATCAAACATGGACAAGTTTACCAATCAACCCGAACTTGAACTTTCAACAAGTCTTTTATATTTCCACCAAATTGGATTTTTCAATTTGTATAAGAGGGTTTTCTAACACAAAAATTGGTGATTTGATGTGTCACGCGCTCATAAAAGCCATATGAGCACTTCAAGCGAATCCATGAAATTGACATGATTTTGAAGAAATTTTTCTATTTAGTTCGGAAACCATGTTGGGAAAGACTAAAAAAATTTCTGTGTAAACCGCGAACGGCCTTTGTTACGACTATTTGATATTTCACTTGTTTGTTTCATAATGGTCCGCTGCTTATCCCAAACCAAAATTGGTCCGCTGAATAATGTTCTCCGCAAAATCTGTAATTTTTTTGCCCACATTCACTTGAAATGATGCGTGATTGGCTTACTTTGTGCGCATTTCGTGAAAGCGTGGATAACATGTTATTTATAGAATAATAAATTGTTTTTGAGGAAACGGGTGCCACTCAACCACGTAGATTTTTCGTCTCTTCACAAGGACTCATCTTGAGTTTTTGATCTTTCACCGCCGACTATAATTTAATTCCAGTGAAACCATCGTCAAGACCTCTGATTCTGCTCCAATTCCTTTAAATAAATTTATATCCACCGAATTGTTCAAATAAACGAACAAAAAATTAGGAGTTTCATGCTCATGTGATAGATTTCCGGCGACGACGTTGTCATATGTTTCTTAATTAAACATGAATGAATTAAATAAATTATGTATATTTCATGTGACCGTTCCATTCGTCAAACAACTGAGTTCACAATATCATGTGGCGAGATGTGCTAAGTAATAAATGAATAAATAGTATCAAAATGAAATGCAGTTGGCCAGATTTAATGACATTTACAAAGGTAGGTCCACTGGTACTCAAAATGCATAAATCATTAATACAAAAAAAAAAACAATAATATGCATGATCGCAACATGCGAGAAAACTAGTGTCAATGACACACCAAAATGATTAGAATGGTCAATATTTCAAGACAACGCGATTATGGAGCATTGGAATGTCCGCTGTACACCGAAGACTTGGGTGTTTGTTCAATTGGCTGCTCAGCGAGGTACGCAATAGGTTGCTCAGCAACTTGTTCATGCTCGATAGCACCAGTAGCATCCTCATCCTCGTTCTCTTCGGTAATTGAAGCCAGCTCCTGGAATCAAAATTGCATTTGTTTTGGCTGCTATAATTCATTGTACTTACGGAAGCAGATGACGAGTAGCGAAGTTTGGAGTATATGAAAACCGAATGACGTGGCTGAGCGATTTCCGGTTTCCCTTCAACGGCTTCCTCCTCCGCCTCCTCTTGTACCTCATCCTATAACAATTATAATTTATGAAAAATGAATGACGCGATTTCAGATAAGAAACATTACACCTAATGAACGAAGATCGAATTTTGACTGAGCAGCTGGTGTTTTCGGATATTGGATCGAACAGATCATTTTATGTTTCAAAAAATTGAATCAGAAACCGATATCTGGGGTCGATAAACTAAGACTATTAGTAATGTTTTTGTTCTTTGTAGGTCGCCCATAATTTCATTGAAAAAATAAACGATTTTATCTAACGCATGTTGCGCAATATTGTTTTTCATAAAACGTCCTTCACCCACACTATCGCAAATATACTTCCCACATTTATCTGATAGCATGAGAAAAACACTTACATCTTCTTCCTCGACGATCGAATCCAGATGTTTCAATTCTGGCGAGCGTTCCTTTTTGCCCTTGACCGTTGGACTTTTGATGAACTCGGCAGCTTTCATCTGCGACGTTGATTTTCCTGGAGATTTGGACTTCGAGTCTGACTTGGCGGTTCCCTTTTTCGGCGATTTCGCCTTCATCATCTGCTTTTCCAGAAGAGATTGTTCATTGCGAACCTTTTTTGGATCGGTGTCCTCTTCGTCTGATTCATCCGTTGACGAGTAGCAGCGTTTCTGTAGCAAAATTTGTTGGAACAAATTCAATAAAAAAAGTATACTAACCGAGGAGGATCCGATCGGACAAAGTTTGCGAGCTTTTTCAGCTTCTTGGAACCACTGAGCCTCTTGAAGCACAAATTTCATTGGCACGTCGAGTTCACCGCGGAGAACCGACTGGACGTCGTTCACAGTTTTGTCATAACGTTCAATAACGTCGACAGCATTAACAACCTTATCCATGATTGATAGAATAACTACACTATCGTCCTCAACAGGTCCTTGAGCAAGCTGTTGAAGTCGAACTGAACGCTTAGGCCTTTCCATGGCACTGCAAAATACGGAAATGAATGTCTATTGGGGGAGAGGGGGTTGATTTCATACTGCCATAAGGATACAATAAACAACTAGAGAGCACACTGACAACAGGTAATTTGAAAGATATGAAAAAGAAGCTATAGTGCAGGTGATAAACACGCCGCCATTCGAGCACGCGGGTCCTCGCCACCCATTCTTTGGAATAGGCAAATGTCATTGTAGGGCGGAGGAGAGATAGAGCGCGGGCGAGAGGGGGACCCGCTACAGAGGTGAGAGATGCAGAGCAGGACGCGTAAATCGATTGTAATGGAGTTGTGTTTATCGAGAAGCGCGTGTTAAATCGACAACATTAATCACCATACTACATTTGAAAATTCCCCTGATCCACAGGGATCAACGATTTTGATCCGCTCGAGTACGTTTTCACCGCCACAGCGGCATTTCGGTGGCACTCATCGTTGATAAGCAATTAAAAATAAACAAATGTGTGAATATGTTGACTACATTATGACAATGTACATACATGAATCATCGTGTTTTTATCAATTCCTCGTTTTCAAGATGACGTGACCTTAATAGAATTTCATTTGTTCGTAGCTAATAAATGATTTTGCGAAAGGTGGACCAACATTATGCGCTTAAATTGGCAAACAATAGAAATAATACATTGGCGATCGACAAAAAAAGTCGAATCCGCAAAGGAACGCGCGCATTTGAGGACTTTATCGGCCGAGTATGACAGTAGTAGACAGTTGAATGATGGCCGAAAACCGGTTAGCGGACAGTTTTCAAAATTAATGAATGCAAAACGTGAAAGTTTAAGCGCGAGATTATGGTTTTATTGAAAATTTGAGTTTTTTTTGTTGTTGGGCAAAAAATTCGACTAGTATAAACTAGACTAGTATAAACTAGGAACAAATTGAATTGAAATTAAAAATATAATGTTACTCAGTTAGGAATGCTTATATACTATCTATATAAACACGAGACTCCTAATAACGCTTAAAGACGTAATGTTTTGAATTCAAAAAATGTTGGGAATGTCACGAGATTGCTTAATGCCACAATTGTCCACTCAATTAATACATATGTAAATCCTATTACGTCACGTGCCATGCCGCGATTCGATCCCGGCCGTATAAATAACTTTACGGATTTGATTTTTCATCTAGTGACCGTAATGACGTAAGCTCCCATGAGGCTCGCGGATGTTTTATAAGCTAGTACTGAGATAAACGAGGACCATTAAGACATTCAGCTTACTCATTTGGCAGCGCGAATGGAAAGCAAATTCTAATGGCATTGTCGTTTCGGTAGATGGAAAGAACGCCCACGAAATGTAAAAGCCGTGCTGCATTCAAGGGTAAAAAATTATTCAATTTCCGGCGCAGAAAAGAAGTTTTTTTTTTTGTATTTGTGTGTAAATGCTTATAAAATGGCTCTGCAAAAAGACATCGGGGAGAAAATTGAAATTCTATCTTTTTTGAATGTTGCATTTTAAATACCGGAAGCTGAGAAGAAGCTCTTGGATGGTTCTTGGCCGAACCACTACTAGTCTATTTCATGAAATTTTGGAAAATTTAAAATAGTCTTCAAAATTTGCGACAACCTCTTTTAAACGATTGTTCAGTTTTTTTACTAAAACAACAATTAGAACAAAGTTTAAAATAAAAAAATATGATAATATGATGACTATAATTTTGAGGTATTTAAATTTAAGTGACATATTAGTCACCAAAAACTTTTTTATCAAAAGTGAGAAATTTTTCTCGTCTTTTTTTTGATAGAAGAATGCAAAGTGTTAACAAAGCATTTCTGGTTCAAATGAAATCATTAAATATGAATTGGAAATTGCAGGGCACTTCATTAATAGAAAATGATTTCATAATAATTCCTTTCAATAGAAAAGTGATGTACATAGTTGGAATAATATCTTCCGATGAAAAATATTAAAGTGAAACATTGTTTCTCTCTAAAAAAAAATCTACAAAACTTCAGTGTTAATGGCAAGTAAATTTCGAGTTTTAGAGTTGAAAAAAAAACACTTAATAAAATGTGGAACTGGAAAAATCGTACATTTTGCAGTGTAACCGTAATCGAATGAATGTCTCATTGGAAATTTCGTGAATAGCATTGAAAGATATTACAATAGGCATGAACACTTGGTCCCAAGTTATAAAAGCCGGGGGATTCTTTATAATTATTAATATAACAACTGCCAGAGGCATTTTATGTATTGTGTAGCACTAGATCGATAAGAAGTAAAGCAAACATTACGAAATTCTTTTTTTGTCGAATCAGATTATCTTTTGAGAAAATAAATTTTATAGTAAATAGTATAAAAATAATTATTAGTTGAATAGAAAAACATAATGAATCTAACCACTAACAATAAATACAAAGTATAGAAATTCATTAAACACTTCCTGGGAGCAGTTATTTTTTAATTTTCAAAAAAAATGTTTCATTACAATTCTGAAACACTTAAGTCATCCAAAAATAATTTCTCAACTGATTAAATTACTTTAACGAAAGTCTTGGAGTTTTTTGCTATGGAGCTGTTCATACTGGGCACGATCGCGAAAAAATAAAAAAAAAAAACAGTTTGCATGAAGACTCCAAACACTTCCACGTTTTTCGTAGTCTACAATTCTACAGTTTTTTTTTCTTGAATTGCTACAAGAAATATAAAAAATTGTATATGCGCCTTAAAAAACTGCCGTAATCGAAAAACTTGTATTCGGAAAAAAACAAGTTTTTACGGTTAATTCTATAACATTTCATGATTCTTGCAGCGATTTAATGAAAACGGTGGTACTGTAGATTTCGAAAAACGTAGATGTTTTTGGAGTTTTTTTTTTACTGCAATCTGAATAGCAATTTTAAAATTTTAAAATTTTAAACCTTTTAGCGGTTTGAAGAGGTTTTTTTTGGCGAAATCTGAATAGTACTATAATGGAAAAATATTAAGAATGAACGTTTAAAAACAGAAGCATTTGTGGTTTCGTGCTTTTGGAATAATTTTCTTAATTGTTAGAAAATTGTCGAATTTTTAAATCTATTAGACAATATTATTTGGGGACATTAATTCTCGTTCAACGGAGCATACCAAATTTGACGGCATATACTTTCATCAAAAAATATTTCGAAGAGCTCATTGAATAATTTTAATTCCGAAAATTTGTCATCCACAAAAATAAAAATAAAAAATATTCCATAACACCTAAGTAACTGTCAAACTTTGTCTGAAGCGATAAAATTTTTAATTTTCGGCTTTTCAGATTAACATATTTAATAAAGCACAACAGCCTTTAACTTGAAGTATGCAAGAACGTAACATTTGACAAAAAATTCAAAAACCGACCTTTGAACTGACTTATGGTTGATTTGCTAGTTTTATGTAATATAAGTAGCTTTTAGAAACCAGAAACCCACGTGCTGGGTAGCATTTTAACTCTAATCCCGTTGATAAGAAAACAAAATTTCAAATGAAGTCAAACATAATAAATTAAAGCGAATGATATATGCTATCAGATTTCACAAAAATTTGCCGATTGATGGAGGGGGGGACATGCCACACGAAGACAATGAATCGCGTTAATTATGATAAGAAGTGAGAATTTATGATATCCAAATAACCTGCTTAAACGTTTCGCCGATCTCTGATGCCTTTTTTGAACATATCATTTCCTTTATTTATTGATTTCATTCTAACATCTACAAAATTATTTAAAAAATCATACTGTCGTTGTGTGCAAAGCTAAAGGATGGCATAGTCAATGAGACTAACTAACATGTTACATATCAGTTGGAAATGTTTTAGAAAAATTGTGATTTTTTATGGGAAGGGGGGGAGGAAGGGGTCAAGGGGAGATCGAGTTACGGAAACGTCGTTTTTGAAACGGACAACGTGACTATGAGGGGGGATTGGGGGAAGGGGAAGAGAAAAAGGGGTGCAGTCGTCTAAATATATGTATAATTAATTCCAGAATAGTAGAGTTTATTGAGAAGAGCTGGAAGTTCCTTGTTGCCAACGCGGATCGAATGGATCCGGCTCGCTGGAAGATGGCTTCGACCAATCATCTGCAATATGTCTCACCATTGATGTTAATCCATTTTCGATTATAAAAATCCTTCCGCAAGGTTAAAAGAAATTGTTTTTTTTTTTTTTCAAATTTCCAAACCAATTGTCCACTTGTATTTTTTTCTGGCAAAAAAAATCAAGGTCTAATATAGCGGGACCAAAAACGAAGGTCATTTGGAACACTCAAAATTCTATTGACATTTTCCACACCATACACATAAAGACCAGAAAGCCCATCGATTGTAATAAGTGAAAATGGTATGCAATTGAGACAAAGTAGAAGATATATTTGCAATCTTTCACCTTGTAATGCAGCCTGCGTCTCCCTCTTCTCCCACAGTTTCACAAATTCATAATACAAAAAGCCGACCTTCTCGGCATCCCTTTGAATAAGATCACTAGATTTTAATCGGAAATTATCTTGAAAGTGAAAAAAAGCGAACTGCTGACAAGTAAGGTCATTTTGATTCAGCTATTGTTTATAATGGGATCTTCAAGGTCTTGCCAATATGAAATAACCGTTAAACAAGAAGATTTGAAATTCATCATCACCGACTTTTACCGTATCCTTTTGAAAGAAAACTTGGTTTTTGATTTCAGATTTCAATTTAGTGATATCTGAGATCCCATTGATCTTACATGATTCGAATTCAACGTTGACGAAATCCTCACTGCTAGTGTTGCCTCCACGTCCGGTGTGATTATCGGAAATGATGAAACCCGATGTGATTTTCGAGTTATTTCCCGAGATTGACTTCTTGCGCAAATCCTTCTTGTTCAGCTCGAAGTGTACGCGTTTTTCAACTGGAGCCTCAAACTCCTCGGACGACCCGGTCGTTTTGCGTTTACGATTCTGCGCAGCTGGCTGCGTTTCCATCAACTGGAGTCCGCGAATCTCGTTCTCGAAACCATCTGGAACATAAAATTTGAAAAAAAAAAAAACAATAAATTTGATAAAAAAAAGTGGCACTTGGCCGTTGTTTTTTGCAAAATGTCCTTCTCAAGATTCTTGCGTATGTTCATTTCTCATGGCCGATTGAAGGCACCCTTGAGCGCAGCTGCCATCAGGCAAATTACCTGTCGGACACATAGCGTGCTGTCAGCACGTTCGAAAACCATTGAAACTACCAAGCAGAGATAATTATTGGGTTGCAAATGGACAAACTCAAAACGAAAATTGTTATGTCGCAGGTGATTTAAAGTTCTGTTTACCATAATGACAAACTCGAAAGCATCTTGCAAGACATTATTAAGAAAGTGAATTTCTAGATTATTGACATTGACAGATTAAATATATCCAATAGAGTTGATTGAAAAAAACGAGACAACGGAAAGCCATTCAATTTCCTCGTTTCCATTTTCAATTTCCCCAAATTTTGATATTGAGCCAACTTACGGAATTCTTTGAGTCCATCCACGTTGACGTATGGTGCCGGCGAGAGCTCATAGCGCTCCATTTGACCTGGAGAGTTCGATGAGCTCGGTGTGTCATCCGGCGAATACGGAGTGTAGCGAAATTGGCGATTATTCAGCGCAACGAAAATCCCATGGTTGACAAGAAATGCCGGTGACAGCGAGCGCTCATCAATTACGTCGCGAAGTGGCTCATCTGAAATAAAATTGATGCCATAATTTTGTGTTGCTGTTGTCTAACCGCGCATGCTATCTGGAGAATCTGGAGGATTGAAGCGCCACAATTCTTCTCCCATCGGCCTTCCTTCCGCTGGCGGCGACGGCGGAAAATAGTTGGGGCGAAGCGCTGCCACCGGCTCTTCAGCGACAAGCGCGACTTCCTCAGCCATCTCCGGCTCGGCAATCTCATGCTCACCGTATTGATTGTTTTTCATCGAAAAGGGACCAGTCGAGCTGACTTGAACCATTATTACCTAGAAGAAAAATGAAATAATTTTCTGAAAAAAACATGCAGTGTGAAAGGTACTGAAACGAAAGTGCAATTTTGAAATGTGATTGAGTTTCAATTCGTGCGACGACTGAAATAAACAGACTTCTTCAGCATCTGACTCAACTAAAAGTTGTTTTCGATTTTAGCTGGGTTGTGTATTTCGCGGGGCTCTCCCTTAATAATTATAGCTTGTGATATTTATTTCAAGATGCTGTATAATCCCTTGTTTGATGTTTGTTATATAGGTGAGTGTGCTGCAGACACTTCACTAGATAGTAGACGCTTTTTTTTTTCATTAAATTCATCAGGCATTTGCTTGAAGCGCAATTGGCACTATTAAATTCAATTTCGTTAATGAGAAATGTTTTCCCAGGCGACAAACGGAATGCCAAATAAGAGAAGGAGCGCTCCGAATCGCGAGTGAGTTGTGCGCTGCCCATTGTGGCTATAAAACTCTAAAAAAAAATACTATGGAGCAAAACAAAAAGAGCTTGGTGTGGCTCATTGTCTATTATAATAACGTCTCTCGAAAACTACGCATATGCCGAAATTCTTAATTAAGTGAGTGCGGCGCATTTTTAGTGAGCCTACGGCCGTGCATTCGACATTTCAGCGAATTGGAAGTGACACCAACCATCGCCTATTTTTATTAGATACTCCGACCGTCTCTATCATATAACGAATAAATTTTTATGTTTTTTTCGCATCGGTGTCATAAACCACGAACCCAATATTTATTGCTTTATAGCAAGATAGAGACCTACAGTATGATTTGAAGGGGGAGGAGGCGACAAACGCAAAAAAAATTGTAGAAAAAATAAATTGCCACACCCAACTCTATTTTTAAAAATATTCAACAAAAACAACTTTACTGGTCACCTGATTCATAATAAATATCCAATGGATAAGCTCTATATTATAATCGGATGATCAGGATTTAAGTCCACCTGATACATTAATAAACATTCTCAAAAAAATTCAACAAACTGCTGAAGAATGGTAGCGGCGGCGCTCGTCGAAAATCAGCACATCAAACTGCCAATGAAAGGAAAGCGAGAATAAAAACGAAACCGTGCGGCCTTGCCGCGATAACTAAAAAACGATCACAAGGTTCTCTTCATTATTGGCGTCGAAGGGAAAGTAAAAGTTCGAACTATTACAACCGACCCGGGGGTTTTTTCATTGTGTTCGCGATTTACCTTTACCTTGGCAACTTGCTATGAACATTTTTATTGAGCCGTACAACGAGAAAAAAACGACTTTCATTAGAACGACGTGTAATGAATATAAGAGAACTAAAAACTATCGCGTTTCACAGGATTTCTTCTTCAATAGATTTGGAACCGTAAAAGTGTGCTTGTTTTTTTTTTTACAATGGAATAACGCGTTAGAAGAAGGAAAAAATAATACAAAATGAAGTGATGGAGTTTGCACTAATTATGAATTATGGCTCGCAACGTACAAATAAAATAGAGAACAAGTTTGGTAAGTGTGTGGCTAGAATAAATGTATATGAAAAATGGAAAGCGAAATTCGGAGTTCGGAGCCTTTGGCGCGGGCCCGAGTGGACACGAACGAACGCTCGCACAACGCAAAAAAAAACAACAAGATGAAAGGCAGACACAGCGAGGAGCGCCATGCCGCAGACACGGGCAGCTAGAAAAAGAACACAAAATTGTGTACATCTGTGCGTCTCGTCGCGTCGTTTCGTGCCGAATGGAAAGAGTCCGTCGGATCACGCCTGAAGGCACCAACAAGTGTGCACGTCGGGACCCTTTATGGGCGCGCGACTCGTGTTTGCGCGCCAACAAACAATTAAAGCATGTACATTGAAAAAAAAGCATGTCGAGCGCCGGGCATCTCGAATCACATGTTTCTGAAAAAAAAAAATTATTGAATCATCATTTGAACGGTTATGTTTTTCATTGTGATGACAGAGAATGGTGCAAAATAAGCATAATTATCAGCAATTATATGTATTTCGGTAATTATTGTATCACTTTTCTCATTGACACTCTAATTACAGAATATGTAATTCGAGCTGCCAGATTTACAAGACCCAATGAATCTCGTTTGATGTTTTTGATCATGATTCAGATTTTCAATATAAATTTATTGAATCTTATCAGCTATAAAATTAATATTAGAGCTAAGCAAACATTTTCATGTTTATTTGTTTCCATCCCAAAACAATTCTCGGTTTGAACTTTAGAAACGTCTTTTTTTTAAACACATATTCTATACGCAATTGAAATTGAAGTTCAATCAAGTAATGGTGGATTGAGTACGGTTTCCGTTTCTTTTCTTCAAATCAACATTTTTCATGGGCAAACACGACATCAATTTTTTTGCAAAATCAAACAAAAGACAGTTTGCACTTAGAGTTAGGTCGGCTGCAGTTTACTCGTCTAAATAACATAAAATCAAGGTTCAAAACTTTTATAATATTTTACCACCAATTGCTAAACCGAACGATGCTATTAATGAACGGTTACAAGCGTTTGAACATGACAAATGTTGAAAAAATAATAATAATTAGAAATTTACGCGACAATTTGTTAGAACCCACGTTGAATTTTAAATGTTTCGATTCAAAGCAACAACACGTAAAAATGGACGTCACAATTTGGCATAAAGCAGTTACCCCGAAACTCCGCAAAAATGGGTAAAAAAATCGGAAACACTGGTAACAAAAAAGATGCGAATTATTCTGTGGGGCTTACCCAAAAAGAAAAGTACACACCATTCTTGATGGAACCAAATGTTCGGAAAACTTTCGTTTGGCTCATTTCTTATCTGAACAATTATCAAATTGGTGTGCTTTGTTGAGACGCGCCCCCAATTCTTTGAAAATCAACAAACATAACCCAATAATTGACTAAAACATACAAATTTGAGAGTTTGCCTTGATAAAGTCTAAAACATTTGGAGACACATTCTCACGAAGAATGCGATTCTCCTCACGAAGAGCGCTGAGCTGAAAATCAAAGAGCAACAATTTTCGATAATTTTATGGGTTTGGACGAACCCGATTCTCTAAATCGGCAATTGTTGTGCGAAGCGATTCAACTTCTTCACGAACAGCAAACGTCAAATGTGTCTTAACAAGATCCTAAAATAGAATTTAATGTGAAAATAGAAATTTCACGATTGCATTACCATAGCTTGTACAATTTTATTGTCGATGGCAACGACGGCGTTGCTAGTGCTCGCAGCAATTCTGAAAATAAGCACCACATTCTGGAAATGATGTTTTTTCAACATTTTTTTATCGCATATTTTTGTCGTAATCAATATTTAGATAACGCATTGGTTTTAAAACAACGAGAGTCAATCAATCATTGTCCATACAAACATTTAATTGCTTTCCCCTTCGTCATCCTATAGCACATGTTTCTACCAAAATGACTGATTTGACTTTTTTCTAATGGAACAGTGCATTCCGAGTATCTTTGATTTCAAAGCATAAATATGATTTATGTGTGTTACAACCCAGTAAATCAAATTTCTAGAGTTGAATTCTTTTTTTATTCTTTTCTTTCACATAATCTCCCAAGGGGTATAAAAATCGACGTTGATAAAAGCAGAAAATGCACTATACTCCACATGCTTACACTTCCAAATAAAAATTCGAATTGTTCAATTTTTGATTGAAAAAAAATAAAATTTGGAATAATTTTTATATATAATCATCAAAACTCAAAGGTACACTCATATGTAGTGCTATAATAAAAATTAAGCACTAATGAATAGACCTACCCTTCATCTTGTTGCTCTGCCGCTGGTGGATTTGAAGACGATGCTACAATTGTAGTGGTGACATGAGATGGAGAGTTGTTCATTACAGTGGGACTCGTAATGCTTTGTTGTGTATTAGTCTGACTATTGATAACAATCTGGAAAATATAACTGTTAGTAAAAGCAAAAATAGAACTCTAACCGTTGATGATTGCATCTGCGGATTGATATGGGGTTGTTGTTGTTGGCGTTGTTGTTGCTGCTGGGTGATTTGTTGTTGTACCTGTTGCGGCGGTGGCGGCGGCGTGATGGTTGTAATCGTGAAGTTTTGCTTCTGTGCAGCAGATAGCGGTTGAGTCGGTGGCGACATCCTAATGATTTCCACCTCCTGACGTGGCGAGATATGGCTACTACCGCTGCTTGCAGCAGCAGCAGCAGTGGACGTCGTCGTCGTGCTCGTGGTGAGGTTCGATGAGCCGCCGCTGTAACAAAACGAAAATAAAAATGGAATTGGCAAATTTTCCCATGAGACCCGTCGCGCAACGTTGAGATGTTTTTGAAGCGAACTTGAATTGCGAACAGAAACACTCGCATGCGAGCAAACGCGATGAAGAAGAGGAAGAAAAAAAATGTGGCGGGTGAGGAAAAAAAGAAAGAAAAATAACGGATGCGCCTGTTATTAACATCAAAAATTACTAACTTGACAGCTCCGCGATTCGTTGTAGTTGTTGTCGAGCTCACTAATGTCACGGTTGGCTTTTTTACTTCCTCGGCGGGCGGGTCGGTTTGCTGAAATAAATAGCTCGCATTAATGTGCAAGAAAATTTTTATGTGGCCATTTATGGGCATATTTTATGAGGACAAATAACTTTGTGGTAATGTGCAATGCAAATATGTCCCATGCAATAATATATCACTAATTCCTTGAACGGAATATTTCGAAATTTCGAGTTGGCATTTAAAAATATCAAATAATGGCATTTCGAGCACAAAAATTTAAAAAAGAATTAAAATGACTTTGATATCGAAAATAAGTTTCTTCGAAACGACATTTGGCACGGAATCCAGTTTACTTAATGTGATAATGCTAATATACAATGTGTATTACTTGCCAAAATTAGGCAAGAAACACAATTATTTATGAGGAAAACGCGAAATAACTCAATTTTGTTATTGACAATATTTATTGAGAGAAGTGTAAAAACATGCGAAAAGTGTTTTGAATTACTTCGGAAAAGGTCGTCCTTTACACAATTCGAATGTTTGGAAGAAGAGAAAGATATCAGGGTGTTCGAATTTATTTTTCGAGCCGTCCCGATTGGTGGATATTTGTCAAGCGTTTAGCAGGTCAACTTTTTCTCGATTTCTATTGGAATGCCATCAAAATTTTTTTTTTGGCAAAAAACGAAAATCTTTTAATTGGAAAAATAATATTGCATAGTGTTCACGGCATTTTAAACCCTCAACGTGATCGTTATTCACGAACACGTGAATTGAGAATGGAAAGTTTAATGGTCTTGTATGTTTCGAAAGTCTTGATAGATTAATGTCTTTGAAAAAATTCCAACGAATATCGAAACTAAGATATAAATTGTTATTAACCAACACAATGCAATTCATATGGTTATTGCAAAGGTAAACCACAAAAAAAAAACTAATTTCTAGCTTTCGTCAAACCATATAATTTCTGTTTTGCCACAATTTTAAAATCTATCAATTAAGAAAAATCCTAGGCAACATTGTTGTTTAAATATTTTTAAATCATAAAATTTACTTAAAATTGGATAATTACCCAAAAATCAATATTCAACTACTGAATATACTTTAAAACTTTTTAGAAAAAATTGTATTAGTGAAATATACGTCAAAAATAAAAAAATGTATATGCCATTTTTTATTGATTGTGAAAAAACAAAACCATTGTACTTGCTAACGATATTTTTGAACTCTAAAAACATAAAAATGCTCAAATCCTAGGAAACATGTGAAATATTATTTAGTTGAGTTCCGGTCTAAATTTATGGGTGTTTCTCGTTGCATTTATTTTTTCGGTTTAGTGAATTCTGGTGATGAAAAATAAAAAAAGTAAAACTCTCACCCTTCTGAAGAACTTCTTCCGAACCGTTATTATATTATTATTATATGAAACAACGGTATTATATTCTTTTCCAGGCGGGTAATTTCCAAAAACTCCCATTGTTGAGCCACCACGAGTATCTACACATTTCCAGCGACCACGTGAGAATTCACCAGGCACCGGCACTACCTGAAAATAATTGTTTTTTTTTTTAATTCTAGAAAAAAACTTATGGAACCTGAAATTTTTTAGGGCGCTGAACTGTCGGTGTCGGCGGCGGTGGTACAGCGGCTTGTGGCTGCCCAGCAGCTGGCGTCATTCCAATTCGCTGAATGGTGATCTGAAAAACGGCAACAAATTGGACGCAAAATGAAATATCAATCTTTTGTTATCAGTAGCAAAGACCATACGAAATTATTTGGAGAATGTTCAGCAGAGCGTGGAAAAATTGTGATATCACAAAATGGGAGGGAAATATTTTTGTACTGATTAAGGAAACAAAAGACAAGAATACCAGCGCGTCACTTTTTCTAATGAACGATACACGATTCTATGTTTTGTTGGAATCTCGTTTTATCGTAAAATATACAACAATTCTATTTTGTAATTGGGTTAACAGGGAGAATGCGAGAGCAAATAAATAATTTCTTAATTTTTAGTAATCGCACAAAAATTATTCTATGAATCATCTTATTAAACACATTAACTGCTTTAGAAAAAAATGACTACCATGTTAATCTGCTTATGCATTACTTGTGGCAACATTCATTTTTCCGCAACAGACGTTTGTATAGAGAGAATTGATTTTGAACAACCCCACCACCCCTCGTGAGTCTAGTTTATATCCCTGTAAACATGGAAAAATGACGATCGGAGGTGGCGGGTTCAGGCAGGAAATCATCAAACAAGATAGTTCATTTGAAACAATGCAAAGAACAGAAACGGTTGCGGACGAATGAGAGATATATAATAGGGCGTTGGAAACGAGGACAAAAACCATATCAAAAATGGAAGGGATATTAAATAGAGCTTCGGTGTGAACATGATTATAGCTGAGCGGCTCTGTAAAATAGTCAAGCAATTATGAAACGGCAGAAAAAAACGTCGCGCACTTTAAGAAAACATAGATGAAAAATTGAAAAAAAAAAGCAATCCAAACAACACTACAAAATTTTCTACACTGTAAACAATACGATAGCGGAGTCTATAAAACGGTCGCGAACACTAGCCCAAATTCGGCCCCCCCCCCTTCCTCTCAAATTATATGCAAATTCGATCGACGAAAATGGAGATTCGTGAAACGTTAGAGGGCATTCCATCCATGTTGAAACCTTCGCGTGAAAATTCGTTTAGACAGCGCGGATAAACGAGAGACGCCGAATAGCGTGAGCACGATTGTTACTTAAGAGACGCGCGACATCGACGCGAAATTACATAGAATAATGAAGAAGAGAATTTAAGAAAGTTTTTGCCCAAAAAATGACTGAAAAAAATCGTGGCCAATTGTTTTCTGTTTTTATCAGATTATATGGGTATAATATGAACCACGAAACTGATTGTTTTGGTTGGCCGTAAAAAAATTGTGAAATTAGATTACAAAATTTATATTAGAAAATATTGATTATTGATGCATTAAATCTAGTCGAAATTAAGACTGCCTAAACATTGTCGATTGTTTTCTGGGACATTTAGAAAAGTAGCAGTTTCCTTAAAATTTGCGCAGCACGAAAGACAATCCGCGCGACGTGCATATTGTCACTCTTTCTCTATTTATCTTTATGCGTCGCACGCGTTAAAAAAATGATATTGTTGCTTCCCAGTTCTTTTTTTTTCTTACCAAATACTTGAACCCGACCAATTGGGCCAAAGTGTGTTTTTTCTTGCAATCACAAATAAAAGTTTGGTTTGATGATAAGGGAGGGCTATTGGCGAGGTTTGTGTTGTTTCTAGATACGTTCAGTGCCGAAATCATGTGAGTTGATGAGAGAAAAAAAATCGGACACAAATGATTATAGTGCAAAAATCGACTATACGATGTGCGAAAAAACCAAATGGAATAGCTGCTCATTGAATATTCAAATGCATTGTTTGTAATTGAAAACTGAAAAAAAATAAAACGCCAATGAAAGAAAGAGAACAATTTTCCAAAAGAAAACCACACCCAGCCCTTTTCTTTATTTTTCCACAGCAGTGATAACATATTTTCGGTCGGCTGGCAAAGTGGTTAAATGTTCCAGAACACTTTGTTAGAAAACGCGACTCGACTAGTTGAGTTTTATTGACATTGAATTTGATCTCGAATTGTCTGCTTTCTGAACACTAAATCACCGATTGTGAAATTCGATAGTTTTCCACTTAAAAGGTTTTCCTGCTGCTACAGACATACTTCCGTCCAATCATTTTTTATGGTTTGCGGCCTTGATTAATTAATCGAAATCATTAAATGCTTTGTCGCCTCCAATGATACTAGCGATTAAACAAATTTCCAATCTTGTCTGCATATTTGATATCAACACTAGACGAAAATCAATATAATGCCCATTAATGGATCGGTTTTCCTTGAAGGAAAATTGAATTGCCGAACTGATAGATGCGAGATCATACATCTGCAAAATGCGCGGAAATGACGTTGTCGCGTCTGTCAAATTTCGTCAAACTAATCAATTGTTGCAAAACATTCGAGAAATGTGTAATGCGAAAAATGAAAAAGAGCAACATGTTTTCCCATTTCTTCAAGCAATTGGAATTAATTTAACTACGATAAAAAAACGAAGAAAACCATTTAAATGAACCTCAAATGTATTTATTTTATTTCAAACGAGGTGTATAAAGAAACATTCAATGAAAAGGGCCTACTTGAGTATTCATTAAAAAAAACGGTTTAATAACATTCTCCGATCAAAAGATAGTGCAAAATAAATAGAATTCCAAACAAGACATTTTTTACAAACTCAATTTTGGTTTTTTGTGAAATAATCACACAAACACAATCCGGAATAATGCGTCATGAGAGAAAAAACTGTGTTCGTCGAATTTTTTCTGATTTGAATTAGAAAAACAAGCGCGTAAACCTGATATTCGATTCCCAAAAAATATCATCAAATTAAATTAAATTCAAAGATGGCAGAAGTTGACTACGTTCGTCGAAATTAACCGCGTTGGCCGTTCAATTTATCACACGTAAAAAATCTCGAATGCATGTGACTACTTTAAAAAAGCTTTTTTTTTTCAAAACTACCTTCGGAAACAAAACCTGGGCTTTGAAAGCTTATACGTCTTTAAATATATAACGGAACCACAAACCACAAAATTGTCGATTTATAATAAAACCACACGGCCACGAACAAGCTTGTAGGATCTTCTCCAAAAACACACACTCGAATCCAAACGTCTTATTAATGTCACAAAACAGAAAAAAAGAGAAAATATAAGGTAAAATGGGTCTTCCAGTTTATTGAAATGACAAATTTTAGGAAATCTTTAAATCCTTTCAGTTTTCTGTGAAAATCGATATTTTGATTAATTTCAATTTTTGCAAGTTAAACATGACGTTTGATCAGCTGTAGAGTTTGTTCAATTATGTTTGTTTTCACTTAATAAGGTTTAACCTTGATCAAAGTTTAAAATCAGTATTCCCATGACATAGTTCTAGAATTCTTCAAAAAATAGTATACAGAATGAAGACGTTGAAATGTAGGTTTCTTGAGAATGTTTGAAAATCCAAAAATCAAAAATAAAGTGGTTTAAAAAAATGAAAGTTAGTTGACGTACAAATAAAAAGAGAGGAAGCCAAACGGACACCTCGCAATGTGACCTCCCTCTTTTGTTTGATCAATTGTCAACATACAAGAATCATGTGCTTCTGCACTTATTGAATGCAAAAATTATGAACAAATAAAGGCAGTGCTCCCGATTGTTGGGTGGATAGCGACTTCTCGCGTCTCCCCCTCTCTTATTTTCGTGCAAAAACGATTATTTCGACAGCGAACAATTGCCAAAAAAAAATGGGTCGGCAGTTCTCATGCGACGTTTCTCTTCTTTTTTTTCGACTACCAAACTTGTGCTCTTGAAACCTTGGGCGAGAGGGAAATCAAAGTAAGAAAGAAAGAAAGAGGAAATTAACGATTTTTGGTGTATTTGCCACATGTTGCCAGAATAACATGATTTAGACCAAATATGAAAACATGTGATAGAGTGACAGTGAGAGCAGCTAATGAAAAAATCATATGAATGTATACTTGAACACATTTATGGGTGTGAGAAATGCTTCAAAAGGACATGCATTTCAGAAAAAAAATATGTTGTTGATAAAAAAAGGCATGTGGTTTATGTTGTGCCATTCAAATTATTGGCATTGAAGAAAAACATAAAACGGATTTTCCTGTTTTCGTGATTCAAATGTCGAACTGAAATTTCAGCTGAATACGATGTTGCGAGAATTTTGAATCATCTGAAATTACAAAAAAAATACTTGTTGACTATAAAATATTTTTGCCGTCGACCAAAAGGCATACATATCGATACAGAGAAAGTTTTATTATAAAAAATCGATTGAAGGAAAGAAAAGAAAAATCTTTCTTTCTTTTTAAAGAAGAACGCATATATTAAAAAATGCATTTGCCGAGCACAAGATTGGCTCATTGTCGAAAATGTGTTGCAGACTAGCTTAATACATTCCATCTTGTCAAATGACTTAACATTTTTTTCATTAAATTTTTTGTAGTGTTCTTTACACCATTTATCAGCAACAAAGTTCAGATGACACATGAATTTTGGGTTTGATAACGAGTCAAAAGCGCACTTTTTAAATATCAAAATGTACCGGAAACCATTATTTGAGTGAATTTTAAAGATTACCACCTTACATTTTTAGATTTTCTTTTTGTTATTGGCGAATCACAAAACTTCTAATTATTGTTGATAAACAAGAAAAATAAATTACGTGTCACACACGAAAAAAAACGAACACCAAAGTTCAAAAATAACAATGTAAATCTTATTAAAAGTGGGATAAATTACATACGTAATATTGATGATTAAGTCACGAAAAATTTCTATCAAGCAAAGTTATAACCCATAAAAATAGAATTTATCATTAAAATATGACAGGAGCATTCACGTGAGAACACATTTGATTAAAAAACCACGTTTCATTTTTATATACGGGACAAACGCACAAAATTTTGATTATTCAAGACCGTAAATTATTTGGGGCAAACGAGCGACATTTTTATTTGCTAATTGGATGAGACAGATTTTTGTTGTTATAGAATAATGCATATATAATAATTTCTATTACAAAACTAATTGAAAAAAGAAAGACAACCTTCGAAAAAAATTTTTTTTAATGTTAGGAATGTTTTGTACAAAAATTTTAAAATGAGTCCAAATTTGATAAATACAATTTTCCTTAAAGTATTTTTTGCAGAAATTCAATATTTATTAATTACAGTAAAAACAACATACATAAGTGTTTGCCTGTGAGTGAAACAAAGTTGTATTAAAATCAATGGCGGAAATGTAGTAACCACAATTGGAATTAATCAAATAACATTTTGAATTTGCAAAAATGAGAATTCATTGTGAACAATACTATAAAAATAAGTAGCGCATTATTAGCTAGTTGAATATTTGCCAAAAGACTCTTACGTCATTCTTATTTTCTCAAGTTGCGATTGAACATTGAAAAAAAACAATGTCACGATTTAGTAGAAAGCAAGGTGTTGAAGAATAATCCAACAATTGCTAAG